GATCAGTAGTGCTAAGATAGAGGCTGCCCATACGAGCGCAAGAGCTACCTCACTCGCTCGGACCGTCCCCCTCTGAAGCCGGTTCCGCAGCCCGCGAGATCCGACAGCGTAGCCGTGCCGCGGGTCCCTACTGCCGAGTGCCACAAACTCCCCGCCGAGCGTGCCACCGACGGCGTCCTGGCGGAGGTGGTGGAGTGTGAGACCTGAGGCTGCGGAGGTGACGCCTGAGGTACCGGGCCGTGCACGGCGACTCAGCCGGCGACCGCCACGGGCTCAGACGAGACTTGTCGACGCGTTCCGGCTCAGCTTCACCGTGGTCCTCGGGCGTCTGTCGACGTCAGGACCACCCATACAGCTCGCGGGTTTGAGGTCGCAAGAGCCAAGATGGTGGCGTTTGGACATCCCAACCATCACACAAGACAGCCTGTAGGTGGTGGCGGGACGGCGCAGTGTTTGTGGCACTCGGCAGTAGGCACCCGCGGCACGGCCCCGCTGTCGGCTCTCGCGGGCTGCGGAACCGGCCCCAGAGGGGGACGGTCCGGGCGAGTGTGGCAGCTCCTGCGCTAGTATGGGCAGCCTCTATCATAGCACTACTGATCCTGGTCATTAGAGCTGCCAGGGATAGCGTCAGGAGCCGGTAGGAGTCAAAACCCCTCATATTTGAGACATCGTGTCCCATATACTCGCAAAACGAGCCTTAGAGCCGTACTCGCACAACATGCCAACACGAGACGTCAGACGAACATCCATGTGGACCCAATGCCCCGGCGCGTGCGGCCCTTTTTCGTGTTTCAATCCGTACTTTATAAGCTTATAGGAGCGGCCCTACGCCCTTTTTCGTGTTTCAAAAACCGAAGGGGCTAAACCTGAGAACCCCTGTACGTCTCTCTCACCCTATACGTCGAGCAGACACGATTTCTTTGCAGTCGCCTCCTTCATCTAACCTGTATACGAGCAGACGGTTGGCGGCGACGTGTGGCAACGAACCGTTTAACTAATAGCCGAAGGTAGGGGTCAACCCTGTACGAGCGCCGCGGCCAGTGTCGTGCGGCTGAGACCCTTCGCCGTGTTCAAGCCGAGCGCACGGTCGAACTGTGCGGTCGCCACCCCGACCGCTCCGAAGAAAGTCGCGTGGCTGAGGTCGCTCTCGACGAAGCTGGTCCGCGAGAGGTCTGCCCCGTCGAAAGTGGCGTGCCGCAAGTTGGCTTGCTCGAGCTTCGCCTCGCGCAGAGTCGCCCCCGAGAAGTTCGCGTGCGGCAGCACGGTCTGGTCAAAATCGCTCCGGTCTAGCTTCGCGCGCACGAAGCTCGCCCTCGCCGCCACGGCGTCCTTGAAAGTCGTTTCGAGAAGGCGCGCGTCGTCGAATGCAGCGCAAGTCATCTCCACGCCCTCAAAGTTCGCCTTCCACATATCGAGCCCGCGCAGATCGCCGAACGCGAGATCCTCACACTGAAAGTTGCCGGTGCTGCTAAAGTCGGCCTGTGGGCCGGCAAGGAAGCAGCATGCGCAATCGGGCGACGGCTTTGGGCACCGGTCGAGCGCCGCTGCGTAGGTGGGCTTGAGAAAGCAGGAAGGGCCGTCCGGACGCGGCACCACGTGCGTCACGGCGGCGGCAGCGCGGGACGTGTAACTGTACACGTCGATGAAGTAGCACTCGTGCTCGGTGCCGCCGCTCGCGCCCGACCGCTGCACTGTCTCAATTGCGCCGCACGACAGAGCGCGAGAACACTCGGCTTTGCAGGCCTCGAGCGGCGTGGTGCCTACGAAGTCCTTAGCTGGGCGCCGCCACTGGTGCTTCCGCGACACCGCGGAACCTGCACACGCGCCCTGCTTGCTGCTCCTGCGCCCGCCGCCCACACTGTTGGGCGGAAGCCATTCCCCCATGGAGGCGGAGACAGGACCGCGCAGGAGCAACCGGGCAGGCGACGTCGGGATAGGTGGCGGCGCCGAGGACGGCAGAGGAGCCGCCGCCGTGAAGACCTTGTCGGAGCAGCACCCGTGGCAGGCGCATCCGATCAGTGCGAGCGTCGCACAAGTTGTCGTCCGAGACAGCGCCGCGCAGGTGGTTTTCCCACAGGCCGTGTTGCACGCAAGCGGCGGCGGAGGCGGAGGCGCGACAACTTGGCAGCAGCGAGCGCAGTCACAGTCCGAAGCAACCGCGTTGAGGGCATTCATCTCGCCGCACGACATGATGGTGTAGTAGTCCTCGCACGTCTTGCCGAGGCAAGGAGACTGGCATCCGCCAGAGAAAGCTGGAGCCGCAGTGGCTGCCGCTGCAGCCATGCCGCCGCCGCCGCCAGCCACAGCTGCAATCGCGGCCGCTGGACTCGCTGCCGCAGTGCTGCCCACACCACTCGCAGCAGCCCACATAGCACGGTAGGAGGCGGCAGCCGGGCTGGCGGCCACGGTTTCAAAGCAGCAGCCCAGACAGTCACAGCCCAGCACCGTGGCAGACTCCGTGCAGCTGAAGAGGCCGCTCAAGCCGATACACGTGGACAGCGCGCACGTGCGCTGGCAAACGGCCGGCTCGACAGCGTCGAAGCAGCAGCCGCCGCACCGGCAGCCAAGCACTGCCGTCGACCTCGAGCATGTCAGTTCCTCGAGGAAGTCTTTGCAGACTGTGTTGACGCCGCCCGGCGGCACGCAGGGCGTAAAGCAAACGGCCTTGTCGTACGCGGAGCCCGGCAGCGCCAGGAAGGCCACGAGAAGCATTGTGCAAAGCGTTGACTGACTGCCGAACACAGGTCGCTTTGACACAGGTCGCGGCAGATCTTTTTTCTTTTGAGAGCGCCTTCGTTGTTAATATTGCGAGCGGTCCCAGTCGCACACACGCACACGCCACACCGCACCGCGCGCCCGCCCGCTGCCCCACCCAGGCGGGAAAGAGATGAGGAGATGGGACAGCAAAGGAGGAACCCCAAACACGCGCAAAGTCGCGCGCGGCAGCGTCGACCGCACGGCCTACTCGCCCAAGTACTCGCTCTCTTTTATGTCCCACCATGCAGAGCGCATCTCTCTCTCTGTTGTGCGAGGCGTGAACCGCGCCATTCGCTCTCACCTGGCAACCCTGTCTGCACGTCTCGCGCGCGCGTGAACAGGGCTCCAGGCCCCAAATGACGTGTGAGTGTTAGAGTTGTTTGGTATTGCTAAAAATCTCTCTCAAACACGTATGGGAGGGTTCAGTAATGCGTCACGCTGCCCGGCGTCTCTCACTTTCCGGGACAGCCCCGCCCTTGTGAGGCAGGAAAGTGACGGCTACCCCGTACGCCCTGGTGCTGCTACCCCGACGCCGACCGCCCATTCGCCCCTCCTCGTTCCCACCTCGAATCCTCCGGACCCCGACAAGCCGCCCGACGTTGTGGGCCTCTGCCCTGCACGCCCCCGCCCCTCGCTCACACCCCGGCCCGACACGCACTCTGCCCCGCACGCCCCCGCCCCTTCTGCCCCTCGCTCACGCCCCGGCCCGACACGCACATACAAGACAAACCCGGCGTCCTGCTCTCAAAAGAAAAGAAAAAAGGGGATGAGGAGACCAGCGGGGGAGACTCCCCGCCTATGCAAGCCCCAGAGAGGGGCCGCCATCGCCGAAGCTGTGCCAAAGCATAACTCCAAAACCCGCAGCGGCCCAGGGGGCCTTGGGGGCAGCCTGCCGGACCGCCGCTGCACGGGGCTAGGCACCAGAAAATGAGTGGAATTGATGAATTGGGCCGTTGTCCGTGCCTCCCCTCTATACGTCAGAGTGGGACCTACGCCGCGCCGGGAAAGGGGCGCGCCCGGTCCTCGACGGAGCCGCGCGCCCCAAACGACCCAGGCGGCGACCCTCAGTCTGGCCAAAAGGCTGTCTGCGGAAGGCCTGGCAGCGCGTACTCGCCTCCTCCGCGGCCATGCCCTCCGCCCGGGCGAGCGAGGAGCGGGGACACAACCATTTCTGGAATCGTGTGTCCCCGAATGTTTTTTTGTTTTTTTTTCTTTTTCCCGGGAATTTTTGCCCATTTCCGGTCATCTGACCGGGGGATTCTCCCCAAACCTTGCTCGGCTGATCCAGCACGGGCTGTAGGCCGTAGGCCAGCCCTGGGCAAAGAAACCAGTACCTCATCGGGCTTCCCTGAGCGTCACAGCTCGGTGATCGCGCCGGCCGGACACCACTGAGACGGCCGTTCCGGGCATTTGAACGCGACCTTCGGGAGCAAAGACATGGGCTCTATGGCTCAGACTGGACTCCTCTTGGTCCCTTCTGATGCCCTAGACCACACCTGGGCCTTACCCGGGGTTCTAGGGGGCGGGCTGGGTTTGCCCCCCCGAACTGGCCCGAGGGACCTTAACTCTGTCAGAACAGATTGTCAGAACAGCGAACTTGGACTCGAAGTTGAAAAGGGAAGTTTGTGTCAGAACGGGGACCAAGTTTGTGTCAGAACAGGGCCTACGCCTCAACGTGAGAGTGTCGCGCAACTGGGAATGTCAGAGCCCCTGAGCTGTGAAGAGAGGGGAGGATTTTGCGCTGTCAGAACGTTGTCAGAACACTGTCAGAACACTGTCAGAACGCTGTCAGAACGCTGTCAGAACGGCCAGGTCTCTGTCAGAACATCTGTGGGAGCTCCACAAACCAGGTTAGCGAGGGCGGCGAGGCACTTAGCTCCCGTCCGACCGCCCCCGCCGCAAGCAACTTGAGAAAGAAGAATTTTAAAAATCAAAGTAAAAGAAACCCATTCAAATAAAACACCGGACGTTGGTTGGGGCAAAGTGCACCCAAGCTAGTATCTCCATCATGCCCGATGTCTCATCCCCTTCACATTTATGTAACCACATCAGTCGCTGCTGCTGCGCATTCCATCCCACGGCCGGGCTGCCACCGCCCACCTCGATCGAGCTGGGGCTTTGTGAAAACAACTTCACAACACGGCCGTCACACATTTGTGGTGTTGCGTCGTAGCTGGGCCCACCGGTGAGATCCGGTGAGCTCGCTGGCGGCCTGAGGACCTCTCCCTGAGGACCTCTCCAGTGGCCATCATGATGAGAGGACCTCTCCTTGTGTCAGTCAGGTCTCAAGACCTCTAGGGAGGCGAGGAAGGGGAGTCACGCCTCTCGGCATGCCCTTCCGAGTTTTGCCATCGGTTGGGCTCGGTCTTGGGGTTGACGGATGCCTCTTGGGGTAAGCGTGTAGCATGATGCCTCCGTGAGGACCTCTCGTGAGGACCTCTCCCTCTCGCGAGCATCTTTGAATGCTTGGGCGGGGAAGAGGAAGGGGCGTGCGACAAGCAACCTGCTCGGGCGCGTCGCCTCGCTGGGGCGCTCAATCATGGGCCGCTGACCGCCTATAGGTCTCGCGTTTCGCCTGCGTAGTCGAGACAAAAGCACGCGCTCGGATCATGGAGAAAGAGAATGGAATTGGTTAAGCATTGATTGAGTTGTTTGTGTGCACTATCTTTGACGTGTGCTTCGGCTGCATGTTGTCCCAAACCGGTTTCCCTCAAGCTCATTGATTGGTAGCCAAAATCTTGTTGTCTCATCAAGCTTGATCCAGCGTCATCAAGATGAACAAAAACAGGGCGCCAGGCCCCAAATTACGTGTGAGTGTTAGAGTTGTTTGGTATTGCTAAAAATCTCTCTCTCAAGATGCACAAAATTGTCGATTCATTAAAGTTCGGGTTCGTCTTTCTTTTTTCGCTCTTTTTCCTTTTCGCTTTTGGTTGCGGCTCTCTTGTCGCCGACGAGGCGAATCGAGGCTAGAGAGTCCTCTGCAGGTGTGCAGAAGGCCTCAGGTGTTGTAGAAGGTCTCACTCAGTCAGGTAAAGCCGTAGGTCACACGTGTCTCAAAGAGTCGCCTCCATCCACCTAGATCCTAGTGAGCAACCCAGTCAGTCATGGGCTATGAAAAGTAGACATTGTGGTTTGCTGATGAAGGCCTGCGGGCCTTCTGGACATTCTGGACATTTGCTAAAGCTTGCTACTCGAGTAAAGCACCTTCTGCGGGGGGGCCCGCCCCATGGGGCGGGGGCAGGTTCATCGCCTAGCGCGCGATGGAGTCAACACTTGTTGCCAAGTCGGCGAGCGTTTTCTGTGTATCTCGAGAGAGACCATAGCAGATGCGAGGGCGGCGTCGTCCGGGGGAGAGTGGTGGTGGTGGGCGAGTGTCAACATCGAGGGCAGTACGCAACCTGCTCACATAAATGCCCTGCATCGGCGACACGAAGATCTTTGCCGGTGTGCCGTCGGACCCCTCGGGGGTGGGGCGCATGGGGGCGTTTGTCGCTTGCGGCAACACGCTGCCACGCGCCCGCGAGACGGTTCTGGGCGTGGAGGGCGGGGACAGGGGTGGGAGGGTGGGGATGTGGGACCCGCGGACGGGGACCGGGACGGTCGAGGCTGTCAAGGGCCAGTACACGGACGCAGAGGGGAAGTGCCGCGTGGAGGCGCTGCTCTTCGAGGAGTTCGGCGCAATGAGCGCGGGGGTGGAGGAGCTGCTGATGCGGGTGGCTAAGGTGGCGGGCCGGAAGCTCACGTGGTGGCAGTACGACCAGACGTCGTGGTCGGCGCGCGAATGGATGCCGTTTGCGCTGCAGCGACTGTCGGTGCAGCTCTGGACGGCGCTCGCGGACGAGGCACAGCGCGCCATTGGTGCGGCGTCGCGCGACCGCGAGGGACCGCGGGGGAATGCTAGTGGGATGGGGGGCTCTGAGGGGAAGGGAGCGGGGGGCGCCCAGTAGGGCGCCGGCGCCCCAGCGTAGAGGGCCTCGTGTAGCCCTCCTTTTGGTATATATAAAAACGCACAACTCCGGACCCAAGACGCACAAGCACAGACAGTCACCCACAAGAACTCGGGGAGCGCGAAATGAAGCTCCTCTCTGCCGGCGCAGCGGCCCACGCCGCCGCCGCCATTCTGCTCGCATCCTCTGCCTGCACGCCACCCGCCGTCGCCATCTCGCAACCGATGCGCCAGGCCGTGCTCGAGGTGGCCGACGCCGCCTACCCAGTGGTTGCGTCAGTGCGAGCCGACGCAGCAGGGCCCTTCGCCGTGCAGGCCGCGGCGCTATTCGCGGCCGCTTCGCCGCTGGAGGTGGCACGCACCGCCGAGAAGCTGTCCGACGCGCTGCTCTCCATCCCGCCCGAACGACTCGACGCCGCGGCCGCCTCGTGGAAGAGTGCGTATGCAGACGTGGCCCGCTCCTCGAGCTGCAACGTGCCGCTGCCGCCCACCGACGCCCTGCGTGTGGCGGCCTCCGCGTGGGACGCCGCCGCCGCCTCGGTCGACCTCGCCAGCGTGGCGGCGGCGGCGCGGGTGGCGAGGCCGCTGCTGAGTGCTGTCGTCCGCAACGAGGAGGCCATCTGCTTGCCGCCGCTGCCCGCATTCGAGACTGCTGCGCTCGCGACGGCAGACGCGCTCGCATCGGCCGACCCGGCCGCCCTGTCGGCGGCGAGCCGGCAGGCGCGCGCCGCGTTGGGGTCCGTGCCGCGCGCGCAGGCGATGTCGGCGATGCCGCAGATGCAACAGCAGGCCACCCGTCTGAGCGATCTTCGCTCTCGCCAGCGGCTCAAGGCGCGCCCCGGCCGAGAGCCCCCTCACACCGGCCCAGCTCTCAGCCTGGCACTCCGGGGCGCAGGCGGCGATTCGCGGCGTCGGCGAGGCGCGGGCCGAGCAGGCACGGAGGGAGGCGGAGGCGGCCGCGCCGAAAAGGTGCTTCACCATGTCATGCTACGACTACTCCCTCGACACGGGCAAGGGCCGCGGTGGGATCGAGGGCTACTACAGGCCCCTGCCCGATGTGTGAATCGCATTCCCATTCGCCAAAATTGATGCCGTTTTCCAGACGAGTCAAAGACAATGTACAACGGCGCAAACCGCGTCATCGGGGACGCAGAACAGCGCGCAGTCCGCAGAATCCACAAGGCACTGTGGCACCACGCAAAATTAAGAAAGGTAATCAAGCGGGAGAGGCACGGAGGCGATGCGGCGAGGGCGCAAGCCACGCGGGATGCATGCCGACACCATCTGCAAAAAATGAGCAAACGACTTGAGAAGATGGACTCGACGGAGAGAGAGCGGTGGGAGAGAGAGCGGCGGTACATGCCGTAGGCGGCGGCCGTGGCATACACTGCGAGCACACTTGGTGCAGCTGCGAGGTGCAGCAAGTAGAGCACGTCGTTCCTGCCTCTGATGCCACTCTCGCGGCTTGTAGCGCGTCACTCGCGCGCGCTCTCCAGGAGCTCTATGGCGGGCGTGGGGCCGTAGCCTGTGTTTGGCCGGTTCTGAACCATTTACTATCAGTACCATGCCTCGGCCACAAGAATCGCACACGGGGAGCGGCTCAGGGGCCCAGTAAGCCGCGGAATCGCCAAATGTCACAACCCGTGCCACCCAGGGCTGGACCTAGTCGGCTGTGCGCCGCCGCCGGCGAGCTGCGCCGCGCTCCTGCCTCCTGGGGCGTGGGGGCCGCCCGGGCCGCCTCCTGTGAGGGTTTTCTGTGAACTGTGTGTGTTTCGTTCGGCTGATTAGTATGTAAAAGAGGAGAAGATTCGACAGGGGAGGGACGCGGCCAGAAAGAGGGCGGGCGCTTTCGCGCGTTCGAAGGGGCTTTGTCTCGGAGTTTGTGCAAATTTGCGGTTGGCCTTCGCCCTGCGGCGAGATGGCACCGCAGGCGGCGTGCGTGCACGAGGGCGGCGGCGTCGAGCGCCGAGCAGCACACCACGAGCGCGAGCGGCAGCGCCGACGACGGGAGGCGGCGGGCGGCTCGACCGAGCCGGCGGCGGAGGAGGCGACGGACGTCGAGGCGGTGAGCGCCGCGGACGTGCTGGCCGGCGTGGAGGAGAGCGGCCCGAACTACGCCCTTCCGACGGCGAGGGAGGGCCAGAGGGAGCGGCGGGAGCGGCTGCGGGTGGAAGAGACGGCGAAGCAGGCGGGGCACACCATCGTGGAGACGGGAACGCACGTCGAGATCCTGGGCGAGCAAGGCTTGTGGTGGCCGGCCACAACCGCGGGGCGGGAGGAGGACGTGGACGGCCGGCTCGTGCACGAGGTCGAATACGAAACGTTATAAAAGGTTCCCCTGCTTGCTGCTAAAAAAATCTCTCTGTCTCTCACACTACACACACACGCGCAGCCCGGAAAAAAGTCTTCTGCTTCTCACACAAGGAAGGTTAACATCTCGTTGGCGGCCCTGCTGGCGCACGAACGCAAACACCAAAGAGCCGCGGCGCCCTTCGACCACTGACCAGCAGCACAAGCCACGGCCGCGACTGCACGTGCACCGCATGGCGCGGAGAGAGCGCGTCACAAGTCCTCCTTTAGGCTCCCTGTCTCGTCGTCATCCTCCTCCTCGAACCCAAACTCGGCGCCCCCGCCGACGCCCTCCCCGTCCACCTCCTCGCCCGCCTCCTCCTCGTCGTCGAAATCGAGCCCCTCCTCCTCCTCCTCCGCCCCCTCCTCCTCCTCCGCCCCCTCCCCGCCCCCCTCCGCATCGAACATGCCCCGCAGGTACTCCTCCTCCTCCTCCGCCATCCTCTGTCTCCGGCGCGCCTCCGCCTCGCGCGAGTCCGCGCCCCCGCCTATTCACAGCGAGATGGGCCGTGAACGCACCCCCAGCGACCCCTCCGAGCATGCCGCGCCGCCCCTGCACCTGCACCTGCACCTCCGCCCCCCCCTCCAGCGGAGCTCTGCCCGCCGTCGCGGCGCCTCTCGCCGCCTTTGCGGCCGCCGCCCGCCTCCCCGCCGCGCCGCTTGCTCCCGCCCGCCGCTTTGCCGGACGCGGCGCTCTTCTTGCCGCCGCCGCCGCCTCCTCCGCCACCGCTGCCGCCGCCGTCCGAGGCGGACGCCTGCTTTCTCCACTTGATTTGGGGCAGCCGGCGGAGCGGCTTCATCTCGAGCGCCTCCGCGACGTGGTCCGCGAGGAAGGCACGCAGCGGCTCGAGCGAGAATGCGTCGCGGTGCGCCTTTGCCAGCACGCTCATCTTTTGCTGCCCCTTCTCCTTGCTGCTCTTGTCGCCGCCGCCGACGGTGGACGACCGCACCGCCAGCAGCCGCGGCTCGGCCTTGTCCCTGCCTCCCTTGTCCTTGCCTCCCTTGTCCTTGCCTCCCTTGTCCTTGCCTCCCTTGTCCTTGCCTCCCGCCGCGCCGTCGGCGGCGGTGGGCATCAGCTTGGAGAGCGAAAAGTCGTACCGCGCCGTGTTGACCGTCACAAACGAGACGGCGCGATACTCTTTGAGCAGCCGCTGCAGCGTGCGCGCGGCGGCGCCCTTGAGCTCGCCGTCGGACATGACCACCGCGCACAGCTTCCGGCGCAGGCAGTGCGCGGTCAGGTGCTCCGTCTTGGAGAGCGCGGCGACGCGCGGCTCGATGGCGGCGGCCACGAAGCTCACCAGCGCCGCCGCCTGCTGCCGCGGCGTCGGAAAGAGGGCGGACGAGGAGCCGTGCTTGGAGAGGAGCGCGGAGGTGACCTGCCTCGGCGCGCGGCCGTTTGCGACGAGCACGAGCGTCGGCGAGAGCGAGCCGTCGAGCTTGAAGCGCTGGAGCGTCGTCTTGCCCGAGGGCAGCTTCTTGCTGCAGTCGAGCACGCCCACTCTGACCTCGTCCGGCAGCCGCGGCGCCGCCGCGCGGACGACCGCCGGGAGGAGCGCCTCCGCGCCTTCGTCCTTGGCCGCGGCGGCGAGCTCGGCACGCGTGGCGCAGTGGACGAGCCACGGCTCGCCCGAGAAGAAGACCGCCTTGAGCTGCTCGGAGCTCCCGCGCAGCAGCTCCACGTCGGCGGCGAGCGAGGCGAAGAGGAGAGCGGATGGCAGCATGCGGTGGACTGATCCGCCGGGGGAGGATGCCACCCTGTCGCCGCGTGTTTGGGCGCGCTTTCCGGAATTCTTTTGAGAATTCTTAAGATACAAGCCTCTCTCACAGAGAATTCTTTTGAGAGCGCCTTCGTTGTTAATAATACAAGCCCAATGGTCCCTTTCGAGCGGTCCCCTGTCGCAGTCGCACACACGCACACGCCGCGCCGCACCGCGCGCCCGCCCGCTGCCCCGCCCAGGCGGGAAAGAGATGAGGAGATGGGACAGCAAAGGAGGAGGCACAAACACGTATGGGAGGGTTCAGTTGTGCGCCACGCTGCCCGGCGTCTCTCACTTTCCGGGACAGCCCCGCCCTTTTGAGGCAGGAATTCTTTTGGTTTGTTCTCGAGGTTCTCGAGGCGGTGTGCCCTTGTTTGTTTCTCTTGGCACCTTGGAGTGCTGGGGGGGGCGACAGGAGGAATGTGGCCCTGAGTTATGTGTACGCCAACTCAGGGTGTGTGGCAGCCAGCTGGCTGTGTGTCTTGTGAGCTTGTTTGTGTCTGTGTGTCGCTCGTGCGTGTCGTCATCATCTGTCCTGCGTCCACCCATACCGCGTTGGTGTCCAGTCCGAGCCTGGCTGTTCTTCACCTTTCTACCTACCTACCTAGGTGGATATCCTTTGGCCGCGTTGGGTAGCGAGGATTGGTGTAACCCGAGCCACGGAGGCGTGTTTTCTGACGGCCGACCGTCAGTGCACGGAGTTGCCCCTTCTCCGACTGCCCCGGCTAGTTCCCGAGGTCGTCGGGTGTGACCCCTTCGTCCCGACCTAGCGCGGGTGGGTTGGAGGGGCCTCAGAAAGGCGCGCAAGCACGCCCTTTTTGGTTTGAAGTGCCAGCGGGAAGCGGACGTAGGTGCAGCAGTGCCCCGCCATAAAAACGGTATGGCGGGTGGACGGCTCTCTGCTGCCGCGGCGCCCCCGTCGGTGCAAAGGCGCCCGGCGACCGCGCGCTTTGGCCTTTATACGTTTTTCTCGCCCAGTACTATCGATATTCTTTTTCCGTATCCTTGCCACGAGGTGTCGCATGTGAGCGCTGGCTGGAGACGCCAGGAAGCTCGTCTTCCATGTCTGCGGCCGCGGGGCGGCGTGCGGGCGGGCGCGCCAGGCTCGGCGACGTGCCGCGCGGGTCTTCGAGCTCGCGGCCCGCGACGAGCCAGCATGGCTCGTCGCTCGACGGGAGCCTGCCCAGTATGCTCTCGGCATTCTGTACAGCCTCGCCAAGCTCTCTGGGAAGGTCTACAGGGCCAGGGCGGGCCCTGTAGGCCTCGGGCGCGATGGCGCGCTGAATAGTACCATGACTACGAGCTCTCGATCGGGTCGCCGGCAGCGGGCTTGCGCTGCGCGCTGCTCGACGGCAGGCTGCTCCCCACCCTTCCAACAGTGTCTTCTACCTCGCTTCTCTCGCTGCAACCGCCTCCGGGGGCCGGCGCCGACCGCCTCGCTTCGCCAGCACTGCCTACGCCTACGACACACGCGTCGGCTCGCCGCCCGCGTCGCCAGCGGCGGGCCCGCGTGGCGCGCTGCTCGTCGGGAGCGTGCTCAGCAGGCTGTGCAGCGCAGCCTGACTCACTCAGAGCGCCGCTGATGGGGCGTGGGGCCGCCGGCGGCGCTGCTGCTGCCGCGCACGCTGCGCTGTGGGCGTCACCATCGTGTCCTCGCCGCGTCGCTGACGCCACTTGCCGCTCGCGGCTGCCCTGCCCTTCCCTCCATCGCGCAAACAAACACACACACACACACACACACACACACACACACACACACACACACACACACACACACACACACACACACACACACACACACACACACACACACACACACACACATTATTAATCATCGGGTATTAATTATTAATTATTAATTATTAATCATCGGGCGGCGGCGCGGCGCGGCGGCGGGCGGCGCGAGGCGGCGGCGCGGCGAGGCAGCGGGCGACGCAGGGCGGGGAGGCGCGGCGGCGGGTGGGGTAATTACTTATTACTTAATTGATAATCAATTATTAATCATCGGGCGGCGGCGCGGCGCGGCGGCGGGCGCCGCAGGGCGGGGCGGCGCGGCCATCAGCAGACGCCCGGGCCTTTGGTCATTGGAGCTCGGCAATGGTGGCCCTCGACTCAAGGGGCTGCCTTCCACCCATAGCTGCTCAGGCCGGGGGAGGGGGAGAGGCTTAGGGTACCCCTAGCCTAGGCTTAAAAGGGTGGGCCCTGGGGCGCCTGCGGCTTAAACGGCTTGGGGGAACCCTTCTGTGAAGAGGGCCTGTCTAGGCGACGGGAGGAACCGGCGGAGGATGCAGTGACGTGACACACACACACACACACACACACACACACACACACACACACACACACACACACACACACACACACACACACACACACACACACACACACACACACACACACACACACACACACACACACACACACACACACACACCGCTCACCCACGCGCACTGGGCCTTGCACTTTGAATGCCGTGGGGCTCCTGTCGTCAGACGTGGAGACGCGAGGGTTGCCCCCCCTTGCCCCACCACCTCGTGTGTGTGGAGAAGTTTACCTTACCTTACCTTACCTTCTTAAAACAGTATCGGCCGGGATTTCGAAGATAGTGCTAAAATGGATACCTGGAGAATGGCATTTAATTTCGCGGACCGGCTCTTTTAACAATCAGGTCATGTCACCGAGCATGGCACGCGGCCAACGCGAAGCGGAGCTGCCGCGCGAGCGAGACGCGCGCCGCCAGCGACGCCGCCCCCAGGAGAGACGCGCACCGCACCGCCATAGACCGGGTCCGGTGGGAGACGGCCCGTCCGCCGCCGTTACCCATGTGCTGCCGAGCGCCATAGCGAGCTGCCGCGAGGCACCGTCTTCAAGGTTCCGTGAGAACGCAGCCTTGCTGACGTGACACGTGTGTGAGTGAGTATACAAATAAACCATGTCACCCACGCCCGCCGCAGGGGGCCGCACAGGTGGGTTGAGCCACGCTTCCGGCGAGCTAAGAACTGCGTGTCACCCTCCGCCCACCGAAGGCGCTGTCGAGGTTTTCACCGAGCGCGGCGCAGGCCGAGGGATACTGCTGATGACGAGCGGCTGGACGTTTCAGAGTTCCGGTCAATGCTGTAAGCTTACAGCCTTAGAGATATCTCGTCCTCGTCCTCTTTTGGTTGCTGCTCAGCCGGCATACACGTTGTGCGGGAGAAGCGCACGAGGAGGCTGCGGCGGAGGGACGTCTCCCGCGCCTGGCCTGGCCTGGCGCCGAGCGCCTTTGCCAGTAGACAGCGCGACACCTAGTCCCAACGCAGCCCGGCATCACAGAGGGAAGTGTGCCAGCTGAACTCTCCGCTACAGCTCGGCTGCCTCGCGATGATTCCCCGGGAAGCACGAGACGGCGAGGTCGCGGTACAAGCCGCCCGAGATGAGCTCTTGCGGCGTGATCTCGAATTGGCGGGCAAACGGGCCGCCTCCGAGGCTGGGGTCGCTCTCGTGAGCCATGACAATCGGCAGGCTGGCTGTGCGGGCCGCCGTCACCTGCTCAGCTAGTCTCTCGTCCGACCACGTGTCCTGGTTCAGATAGAGCAGCATGTGGGTCGCCCGCTCCGGCGTGTCCGTGGTCGAGACGGTGATGGGCCCGCGAGAAAAAGAATTTTACCTACGAGCCGTGAGTGAGTGTGTGAGTGAGTATCACACACACACACACACACTATACAAGCCAAACCAGTCGCCGTATGTATGTATGTAGAAAGATGAACAACAGTCAGGCTCGGACTGGACACCAACGCCGTAGGTAGGTAGGTAGAAAGGTGAAGAACAGCCAGGCTCGGACTGGACACCAACGCGGTATGGGTGGACGCGAGACAGATGATGACGACACGCACGAACGACACACAGACACAAACAAGCTCACAAGACACACAGCCAGCTGGCTGCGCCGTGGAACAGACCCCCTATCTGGCTAGGAGCCGGAACCCTGCCGCGAGCGTGAGACGGCTGTCGCAATGGAGACAGGTCGCCTCCGCGAGTTCTGCAGGCGCGTTAGCAGGCTCGTCCGCCTGCCCGGCAGCCCGGAGACCGGCACACGGGTTGCCTCCGCCGCCTCCGCCGAGCCTCAGAACTCGTCGGAGGCGGCTTCGCGAGCCAAGGACCGGTTTCCCGGGATGCTCAGCCGCGAGGCACGCAGCGTGTGTGCCGACGGCCTTCGCTCCTCGTGCGATCGCCTTTGCCGCCTCATGAGAGGACGGCCCTTCTCGGTGGTGCTCCTGACGGTGGCGTGGGTGGTGCTCCTGTCGATGGCAGCCGTGCTTGTGCCGCCGGCCGAGCTGTGCGTCGGCTCGGACGAGGCGTGCCTCAACTGGGAGTCGTACCTCACGGTCTCTCTCCTTCTCACCGCGGTGCTGCTGATGGCGAATGGCTCGCCCCCCGACCTCGTCATGCTCGCTCTCACCGTGGCGCACACCTCCCCAAATCTCCCCAAATCTCCCCATATCTCCCCATATCTCCCCATATCTCCCCATATCTCGAGCCCTAGAGGCCGTATACCTCCCCACACCTCCCCATCTCTCCCCATAGGCGCTGCTGCTCTGCGGCGTCATCTCCGACGCGCAGGCGTGGGATCCCTCCCTCCCGGCTGCCTCCCGGCTGCCTCCCGGCTGCCTCCCGGCTGCCTCCCGGCTGCCTCCCGGCTGCCTCCCGGCTGCCTCCCGGCTGCCTCCCGGCTGCCTCCCGGCTGCCTCCCGGCTGCCTCCCGGCTGCCTCCCGGCTGCCTCCCGGCTGCCTCCCGGCTGCCTCCCGGCTGCCTCCCGGCTGCCTCCCGGCTGCCTCCCGGCTGCCTCCCGGCTGCCTCCCGGCTGCCTCCCGGCTGCCTCCCGGCTGCCTCGCGGCTGCCTCCCGGCTGCCTCTCGGCTGCCTCCCGGCTGCCTCCCGGCTGCCTCGCGGCTGCCTCGCGGCTGCCTCGCGGCTGCCTCTCGGCTGCCTCTCGACTGCCTCCCGGCTGCCTCCCGGCTGCCTCTCGGCTGCCTCTCGGCTGCCTCTCGGCTGCCTCCCGGCTGCCTCTCGGCTGCCTCTCGCCTCTCGGCTGCCTCTCGCCTCGCGGCTGCCTCTCGGCTGCCTCCCGGCTGCCTCTCGGCTGCCTCTCGGCTGCCTCTCGGCTGCCTCTCGGCTGCCTCTCGGCTGCCTCTCGGCTGCCTCTCGGCTGCCTCTCGGCTGCCTCTCGGCTGCCTCTCGGCTGCCTCTCGGCTGCCTCTCGGCTGCCTCTCGGCTGGCGAGGTACTCCCACGCCTCTCGGGGTTTTTGTCTGGCCGAGTCTGCTGGGGCGAGCCTCGGCGAGACTGCGTCAGCTGTTCCCACAGCAGGCTGGAAGTACCTCGCCAGCTCTCGGCTGCCTCTCGGCTGCCTCTCGGCTGCCTCTCTTGGCTGGACCTTGGCCATGTCTCGGCTGCAGGCTTGGGCGGGTTTCTGCTCCTCTTCGGTCCTCTCCATCGGCGCGCTCTTCGTCGTCGCGCGTGCACTCGAGGAGACGCCGCGTATCTCCCCGCATCTCCCCATATCTCCCTGTATCTCCCCGCATCTCCCCACATCTCCCCGCATCTCCCCGCATCTCCCCACACCTCCCCACATCTCCCCACACCTCCCCACACCTCCCCACATCTCCCCGCATCTCCCCACACCTCCCCACTTCCCCCCACATCTCCCCACACCTCCCCACACCTCCCCACACCTCCCCACATCTCCCCACATCTCCCCACATCTCCCCACATCTCCCCACATCTCCCCACATCTCCCCATATCTCCCCATATCTCCCCATATCTCCCCGTAGGAGACGCGCGCCGTCGAGCTGATGCTGCGGCCGCTGCTCGGCCGTCCTTCGGGCCACGTAACCGCCCTCCTCCGCCTCTGCTTCCCGGCCGCTGCCCCGTCGGCCTTCCACAGCTGGGAGCGACTCCTTGAGCATTCATACTTCCTGACGATGATTAGGTCGCTGTCGTGTCGGCTTTCCTCAACAACACGCCCATCGTCGCGATGCTGCTGCCGGTGAGACGTGGGCGGCGCGGTGCAGTACCCTACCCAACCCGGTACCCGAACCCAATGGAATGCCATAGGTGAGCGAGACGTGGGCGGCGCGTTCGAACCTGTCGGTCAAGGTGGGTCTGTATGCAGAGAGGTGAAGACACAGTCCTACCAGTTCATTGGGTTCGGGTACCGGGTTGGGTTGGGTACTGTATGCAGAGAGGTGAAGACAGTCCCACCAGCGACTGACACCAGGCTCTGACAAGAGGCCGAGAAGGGGGGGGGGAGCGAGTCAGAGTCAGAGTCAGAGTCAGAGAGCAGAGGAGAGCCATGCTCGACACAGACACACTCACAAGACACTCCGCCAGCTGGCACTGCCACCCACACCCCGAGGGAGCGTACGGCACTGCGCTACTCGGGGCCGCGGCCCTTGGTCGCCCCCCCCCCCCCCCCCCCACCCAAGCACCCGAGGCGCCAAGGGCACAAGCAACACTACCCACACAGCAACCACAACACTGGCGTTGCCCCTCGCCTTCCTCGCCGAAGCGATTCGTATCATCATTCTTCTTACGGCGACCAAGGTGCTTCTGATGCCACTAAGGTGCTTCTGATGCCGCTTTCGTTCGCGTCGATGCTGGGAGGCATGTGCACGCTGATCGGCGCCTCGACCAACCTCGTCCTCCTTCGGGAGAGGGAGGAGCCGCTCATGACGGACTGCTTGATTCTGAGTCAGGCACCTCCACCAACCTCGTCCTCAACTCGCAGGTCGAAGCCGACGCCGACGCGCCGCTGCCTCCGCAACCTTCTACCACACCACCCACGGAGCTGAACCCACACTGGATTCGAGACTGAGGAGGTATGGTACTAGGCTCTCGATGTTTTCGATGACACTCGTGGCCTTCCCCGCCGCCGCCGTCGGCCTCCTCTACCTCTCCCTCGCCTCGCCTCTCGCCTTCCGCGCCACCAGCCAGGCAGGAGGCCCCAGATCTCCCCAGATCTCCCCAGATCTCCCCAGATCTCCCCAGGTCTCCTTGGATCTCCCCAGATCTCTCCGTATCTCCCCGTATCTCCCCGCATCTCCCCGTATCTCCCCGTATCTCCCCAGATCTCCCCGTATCTCCCCGTATCTCCCCAGGTCTCCCCGTATCTTCCCCAGATCTCCCCACATCTCCCCATACCTCCCCGTATCTCCCCGTGTCTCCCCGCATCTCCCCGTATCTCCCCGTATCTCGTGCCCTAGAAGCGGAAGACGTGGTCCCGTATTCCAACTAGCCCTCGGGAGGACACGCACTCTCCCTACCTCCCTCCCCCCCTGAGGCGTGCCTACTCACCGCGTAGACAGGAGGCCCCACCGCCGCACTACGCCGCGCGCGTCGCTCGGTCCTGCAGAGGCTCTACCTGCTCCCGGCGGCGCGCCGGCGCAGCTCCGCCGCCGGGCGGCAAGCTTCTACCACACCACCCACGGAGCTGAACCCACACTGGGTTCGAGACTCTGGAGGTATGGTACTAGGCCTTCTCCCGTCTCGGCGCCAGGCACGCAACCGCTGCCCAATAATGAATGGGAATTGTCAATAATTTAGACTCATAAATAATACTTGACAAGAATGGCCTTCTGCCGTCTCGGCTCCATGCGTGCCTGACCCACCCTCCCCTACCCCACGGTACCCGAACCCACCCACCCCCACCCAACCGCAGCCTGACGCGCACTGAGTGGTTCATGAACAGCCCCCGCGCCTTACAACGGCGAGCTACCCACTCCCAGGAACACTCGAGCTGTCCGCAGCCGCGCACAGCAGCGCCAACGGTGCCGTCGACGCCGTCCCCGCGTCGCCCATCTCGCAGCCCTTCTCGCCGGCCGGCCGAGGCCCCGCCCGTTTCGGGTCGAGAGGCAGCCCTCGCTACGCGCTCGAGGCTGTCGTCGGACCCGACTGCCCGCAGTTGCTCGGCTGCACGCCGGCGCGGCTGGGGGGGGAGAGAGAGGGGGAGAGGAGAGGGGGGGGGGGGGGGTGGCGGATGCGAGAGAGTCTGGCCGAGAGTCTAGCTGAGATCTCGCCGAGATCTCGCCGAGATCGTCCGAGGTTCGGCGGGCTGCCCGCGAGGTCTCGCCGAGATCTCGCCGAGATCGTCCGAGATCGTCCGAGAGTACCTAGGTAGGCGCGGCTGGGCGAGAGGGTGGACGCCGACTGTCCGACCTTGTGTGGGGTGCGATTCCTGATCCGTGCGGGCTCCGTGCTGAGCGAGGAGGAGGCGGCGGGGCGCGGGATGCGGCTCCAGCCCAACGACCGGCTGCTGCTCTGGTGCCTCGCCGCGGCGGTGGACGGCCTTCGAAATAAAGAAGCATGCGCGGGCGTGGTTCTACTTTAGGTGCCTCGCCGAGGCCGTGTATGACCTCCGCCGCATCCGAGGCCTCACTCTCCGGCCCGAGGTGCAACCTCCCCACATCTCCCCCCATATCTCCCTATATCTCCGCCGCATCCGAGGCCTCACTCTCCGGCCCGAGGTGCAATCTCCCCATATCTCCCCATATCTCCCCCATATCTCCCTATATCGCCCCGCATCCGAGGCCTCACTCTCCGGCCCGAGGTTCAATCTCCACATATCTCCCCCATATCTCCCTATATCGGGGAGATTTCGATAAAACCACACCTATATCGCCCCGCATCCGAGGCCTCACTCTCCGGCCCGAGGTGCAACCTCCCCATATCTCCCCCATATCTCCCTATATCGCCCCGCATCCGAGGCCTCACTCTCCGGCCCGAGGTGCAACCTCCCCATATCTCCCCCATATCTCCCGAGGCGTCGACGCCGAGCTACCCGGCCGCGCGCTCAGCCCACCTGGTGCTGGTCGAGGCCGCCGTCGCCCTCGAGTCCCCCCTCGTCGGCCTGCGTTTGTCGGAGGCGGCCGAGTGCGCGGTGCTGCGCGGGGCCGACGTGTGGGCTGTGCGCCGACGCGCCGACACGAGACCGGCAGAGCGCAGCGCCGACGGCGACGACGCCTTCCTTCTCGACGAGGAGGAGGCGGAGAGCAGCGCGCCGCCGCGCGAGGCTGCGGCGGCGCGCGGGCCGCTCTCCCTCCTCCGCCGCTCCTCCTCCTGCTCCTCCTCCTCGTCCTCCTCCGCGCAGCTCTCGCCCGGCGACGCCGCACGTCCTTCTTTGTCTCTGCCTTCCCGAGCCCCCGATCTCGGCCGGGAGCTCACCCTCGAGATTCGGCGAGATTGTAGGCGCCGCTCGAAGAGTCGCAGCTGCGAGCGATCACGCAGTCGCCGCTCCCGTCGGCCACGCACGCATCGAGGAGGCCGAGGACGGTGCCTCGCAGTGGGAGGGCGGCGGCGGCCCGGCGGGCGGCGGCGGCGGCGAGGCGCGAGGGGGTGGAGGCGGGGGCAGCGCGAGGCCGGAGGGGGCGGCGCTTCCGCGCCCGGCGTCCTTCCTCGCCCCGCTCCCTTCCGAGCCGCCGCTCCAACCGCCCGCGGCGGCGCGCTCGCCGGGGGCGGGCGTGCCGCCCGCACACCACCGCGCCCGGGCGGCCACCGCCGACCTTGCCGTCGCCCTCCCTGCCGGCGGCACTACTGCCGCCGCCGGCGGCACTGCCGGCGCCGGCTCTGCGAGGCGCGGTCCGGTGCCGCCCGGCTCTCCTACGCCGATCCGCCCGTCGCGGTCCGTGTTACATCTCCCCACATCTCCCCACATCTCCCCACATCTCCCCACATCTCCCCACATCTCCAGGTCCGCGCCGGTGGTTGGGCTGGTCGGACTTGCGCGCGGCTTCTCCCCGGGCTTGCGGCCGCGGGTCGGGACTGGCTGGCCTCAGCTCATGCAGGGCTTGCCGCTGCGGCCCGGAGACACGCTGCTTCTCGAGGCGCCCGACAGCTGGGTGCAGGCGAACCGCATCTTGCACCACTTCGCCCTCCTGCGCCGCGTCGCCCAGCCGTGGCGGCCACGCTCCGTCGAGGCGGTGGTCCAGGAGCGGCTCAAGCTCGCGCCGAATTAACGAATTCGTGATTAATTAATCAGGAGGTGATGAACTAATTAGGAGCGGCTCAAGCTCGCGGCGTCGCTGTCTGCGCTGCTGCTGCTGCTCGTCTGCTCCGCGCTGGACCTCGTCAGCCTGCTGCCGCTCGCCCTCTCCATCGCCTACGCCCTCGTCTCGATCGGCTGCATCTCCCTCGACCAGGCATGGCACGAGATCGCACGAGCTCTTTCGAGATCCGCCGAGGCTGCGTCCGCAGCTCAGCCGAGGCTGCCTCTCCCTCGCCCAGGCCTGGCGCTCCATCTCGTACCGCCTCGTGCTGACGATCGCGTGCTCCTTTGGGCCCGGCGCCGCTCTGACCAACACGGGCGTCGCCGCCGCGCTCGGCGCAGGCTTGGTGGAGCTGCAGGTGCTGGGGTCGTTCGGATTCTTGCTTTGCATCTACCTCACGACCTCCGCCCTCTCGTGTTTCGTCTCCAACTCGGCCGCCGTCGTCGCCTTCTACTCGGTCCTCCGCGACGTGCGCGTGCCCGGCCTCAACTCGGAGCAGCTGATGGTCGCGATGATGCTCGGCGGCTCCTCCGCCTTTGCGACGCCGATCGGCTACCAGACCAACCTCATGGTGCTCGGCCGCGGGGGGTACGCCTTCACAGACTTCATGGCCCTCGGCGGCGGCCTCACCCTCGTCGTGGGCTGCGTCGTCTCGGCGGGCTGCCTCGTTTTCCTGGCCGACGCCGCCGACGTGCCGCCCGCTGCGCCGCCAGCGCCTCCTGCTCCTCCTTAAAAGGTCTAAGGACTCTAAGCTTCTCCACACACAAGGTGCAGGTAGTCAGGGGTTCCAATACGCTACCGCTTTTTTCCGGCCCTCACGTAAAAACTGTACTTAGTCGTCCTTTCCCTCGCCGGCGCGCAGCGGCGCTATCAGGCTGTGTGTGCTTCTCTAGATGGTTGGAGCACGCGCACTGCGAGGTATTGCCACTTACAGGAGGGCAACGGCCAACGCCGTTGCGGACTCGGCCCTCTCACTGAAACCCCCGTATAAGTCATCGCACCACCACCCTTGGCAGCACAAACCCGCGCCAGATGTCCGCCAGCTCCGGAGCCGCTCCCTCGCGGCTGTCGAGGCGCTCCTCGTCCCAAGCGATCAGGTAGCCCAGCCGCATCACCTCGACCGCCCGCTTGCGAGCCGCTGTTGGGAAGAGCTCGTGCGACTGCGGCGACCACTCCGCCGCCTTGAGGATGAGCCTGCCCACGTCCACCGCCTCGGCCGCTGGCTGCAGGTTGGCCGGCCTGAGGGAGGGCAGAGGCGTGTCAAAGAGAGGATCCGGCGAGTCGGGGAGAGACCATTGCATAGCGCGCCTCAGTGCGAGTGCCTTAGCCTCGCCCGCCACGCGCACGCCGAAGCGGCCCGTCGAATCGTTTGCGGAGACGACGACGCCGACCTTGCCGTTCATCGAGGGCCGGGAGACGAGAGAGTGGATCTCAACTGTGGAGCCGACGGCCGCAGCGGTCGGATCCGACTCGACCCACGAGCAGAGGACGCGCGCCCGCTCGAGGGCAGAAGGCGCGCCGGCGAGCGGGTCGGCGCCGCCGCGCAACAGCGCCCGCGCCCGGTCGACGGTGAGCGCCTGCGGAAGAGGGGCAACGGTCGTGAGGACAGCGCGCTCACGCCTTCGGCCGCTAGTCGGGGCACGCCTCGAGGTGCTGGAGCGGCGTCCAGCCGCGGCTGGCGACCAGCCAGGCGGCGAGGTCGGCGTGGCCTTGGCTGTTTGCAATCGCCTCGGGCGTGCCGAAGGGCGTAGCGGCGCAGGAGGCGCCGTAGGAGGAGAGGAGCTTGGCGACCTCGAGGTGGCCCTCCAGGCACGCCATGCACAGCGGCGTGGCGCCTTGTTCATCGGCCTGGTCGATCGCTGCGCCAGAATCGAGGAGCAGCCGGACGATCTCGAGGTGGCCCTTTAGGCACGCGATGAACAGCGGCGTGGAGCCGTCCTCTGTAGCTTGGTTGATCGCCGCGCTCGCCTCAAGGAGCAGCCGAACGCAATCGAGGCGGCCGTTCTCGCTCGCGATGAGCAGCGGCGTGCAACCGTCGTCCACATCGCTTGGTTGATGTCAGCGCCAGCGCCGCGCAGCAGCTGGGCGCACTCGAGGTGGCCTTCCTGGCACGCGACGAACAGCGGCGTGGCGCCATCCTGCTTGGCTTGGTTGAACGCTGCGCCAGCCTCGAGGAGCAGCCGAACGCACTCGAGCTGGCCCGTCTCGCTCGCAATGAGCAGCGGCGTGGCGCCTTGCTCATCGGCCTGGTCCATTGCGACGCCAGCCTCGAGAAGCAGCCGGACGATGCCATCTCGAGGTGGCCCTTTAGGCACGCGATGAACAGCGGCGTGGAGCCGTCCTCTGTAGCTTGGTTGATCGCCGCGCTCGCCTCAAGGAGCAGCCGAACGCACTCGAGCTGCCCCGTCTCGCACGCGATGTACAGCGGCGTGGTGCCGTTCTGCTTGGCTTGGTTGACGGCCGCGCCAGCGTCGCGCAGCAGCTGGGCGCACTCGAGCTGGCCGCTCTGACACGCGATGTACAGCGGCGTGGCGCCCTCCTCATCGGCTTGGCCGACCGCCGCGCCAGCCTCAAGGAGCAGCCGAACGCAATCGAGGCGGCCGTTCTCGCTCGCGATGAGCAGCGGCGTGCAACCGTCGTCCATCGCTTGGTTGATCGCTGCGCCAGTCTCGAGAAGCAGCTGGGCGCACTCGAGGTGGCCGTTCTGGCATGCCGTGAACAGCGGCGTGACGCCATTCTCATGGGCTTGGTCGACCGCTGCGCTAGCCTCGAGAAGCAACCGGACGCACTGGTTATGGCCCTCCTGGCACGCGACGTACAGCGGCGTGCGGCCTTCAGAATCCGCTTGGTTGACCGCCGCGCCTGCCTCGAGGAGCAGCCGGGCGCAGTCGATCTCGCCAGTCAAGCTCGCAACGCTCAGCGGCGTGGTACCTTCATCATCAGCTTGGTCGACCGCCGCGCTGGCCTCGATGAGCAGCCGCGCGATCTCGAGCTGGCCGTTCTCGCACGCGACGGACAGCGGCGTGCAGCCTTCAGCGTCTGCTTGGTCGGTCGCCGCGCTGGCCTCGAGAAGCAGCCGGGTGCACTCGGGGTGGCCCTCCTGGCACGCGATATGCATCGCGGAGCCGCCGCCGCCATTCGTCGCCCCGACGCTCGCGCCGCCCTCGAGCAGCAGCCGCACCGCCTCGGCCTGCCCGTGACGAGCGGCCCAGGTGAGCAGCGTGTCCTGCTTCTCGGTGTCGAGCCGCGCGTCAAGCTGGGCCGCCAGCGACGTGCCGCACGTCCGCCGCCCGGAGAGGAAGGCGCGCAGCGAGGCCAGGTCGCCCCGCGCCAGGTCGGCGAGGCGGGTTGGGCTGGGGCCGCTCATACACTATGAATGTACAGCGCTCATGGCCGCCAGAAAGAAGAAACTCATTTCATTTTGTTTTGGCTTCGTAGTAATAGTTAAAATCCCTGTGTGGTGGCGGCGTGCCGTCCCATCCCTCCCTTGGGTTGTCTGTTTTCTTTCTTTCTTTCTTCTCGTAGTAATAGATCTGAACCTCCGCGTCGGGATCCCGAGTGGACGACCTCCCCGCGCCTCCGGAGCTCATGGACTGCAGACGCAGAGCGCCTCAGGCAACGCGCAGCTGCATCCACATCAGCACGGGCGCGCGGCAGATGGGGCACGACTCCATCTTGGCGGAGCAGGGGCCGCAAGCGCACAAGTGCCCACACGGCCCCGCGACGTGCGACTTTGGGTTGGAGAAGCAAACGATGCACGTAGTCTCGCCGCCCAGGGTGGACTCGGGGACCGCCGGCCGGCCCGTGTCGAAGCCGGCGTCCGCGAGCGAGACGGCTGCGGGCGGCGGCTGCGGCCCGCTTGGGGAAGGTGCTTCGCCAGCCTCCGGGACCGGCGCCTGCTCCCCCGCAGTGTACCTCGCCTCGCCCTCCACCCTCACGCTCTCCTCGAGCGCCGCTGCCAGCTCCGCCTCCTCCGCCGCCGCGGGCGCCTCCGCTTCCGTCGCCTCGGGCTCCTGCGACGGCCCCGCCGCGTCCGCCGCGCCGCCCTTCTTCTTCTTCTTCTTCTTCTTGCCCTTCTTGCCCTTGCTCCGCCTCTCCGCCGCCTCCTCCTCCGCCTCGATCTCCGCCAGCAGCTCAGTGGCATGCCGCGCCGCCTCCGCCTCCGCCGCCTCTCTCGCCGCCGCAGCCTCCTCGGCCGCCCTCTCGGCCGCCGCCCTCTCGGCCGCCGCCCTCTTCGCCAACGCCCTCGCCGCCGCCGCCGAGCCACCCGGTGGAGTCGCGGATGGCGTGCGTGCGGGTTCCGAGGTGGCGCTGAGAGCATCGGGCGTCGTTTCTGCGCCGCTGCGCAGGAGGGAGGTGGCGCGGGCGGCGGTGAGGCTCTCAAGGTGCGCGAGCGGCGTCCAGCCGCGGCTGGCGACCAGCCAGGCAGCGAGGTCGGCGTGGCCTTGGCTGTTTGCAGCCTCCTCGGGCGTGCCGAAGGGCGTAGCGGCGCGGGAGGCGCCGTAGGAGGAGAGGAGCTTGGCGACCTCGAGGTGGCCGTTTTTGCACGCCATGTACAGCGGCGTGCAGCCGTCCGCCGCGGCTTGGCTGACCGCCGCGCCAGCCTCGAAGAGCAGCCGGGCGCACTCGAGGTGGCCGTTCTGGCTCGCCATGAGCAGCGGCGTGACGCCGTCCTCCCTGGCTTGGTTGATCGCCGCGCCAGCCTCGAGAAGCAGCTGCACGCACTCAAGCTGGCCTCTCTCGCATGCGATGTACAGCGGCGTGGTGCCGTTCTGCTTGGCTTGGTTGATCGCCGCGCCAGCGTCGCGCAGCAGCTGGGCGCATTCGAAATGCCCGTCCTGGCACGCGAGGAACAGCGGCGTGAAGCCTTCAGCGTCTGCTTGGTTCACCGCTGCGCCAGCCTCGAGGAGCAGCCGAACGCAGTCGATCTCGCCGTTGAAGCTCGCAGCGCTCAGCGGCGTGGTGCCGTCGCTCATTGCTCGGTCAACTGCCGCGCCGACCTCGAGGAGCAGCCGCGCGACCTCGAGGTGGCCCCTGTCGCTCGCGATGAACAGCGGCGTGGCGCCTTGCTCATCGGCCTGGTCCATCGCTGCGCCAGCCTCGAGGAGCAGCCGGACGCACTCGAGGTAGTCCCCAGCGCACGCGAGGAGGAGCGCGGAAGCGCCGCCGTCATTCGTCGCCCCGACGCTCGCGCCGCCCTCGAGCAGCAGCCGCACCGCCTCGGCCTGCCCGTGCCGAGTGGCCCAGGTGAGCAGCGTGTCCTGCCACTCGGTGTCGAGCCGCGCGTCAAGCTGGGCCGCGAGCGACGTGCCGCGTATCCCCCGCCCGGAGAGGAAGGCGCGCAGCGAGGCCAGGTCGCCCCGCGCCAGGTCGGCGAGGCGCAGGGATGGGCAGAGGGCGCCGCTCATGTCACTAGGCCCCGATGTTGGAGAAGAAGAAAAACACGGCCCGCCGAAAGAAGTTGGTGTCCAGTCCGAGCCTGGCTGTTCTTCACCTTACTACCTACCTACCTACGAAAGAAAGGAGAGAAAACTGCGCCAGATGTCAGTCAGCTCCCGGAGCCCAAGCGATCAGGTAGCCCAGCCGCATCACCTCGACCGCCCGCTTGCGAGCCGCTGTTGGGAAGAGCTCGTGTTAGTGCCAGTGCGCGCCAGTCCCGTGCCCAGTCCTGAGATTTTTAGCAATACCAAACAAATCTAACACTCACTTTGTGTTTGTCAGTCCTGTGCCCAGTGTTGTGCGAGGGAGTTTTGTTGTAAAATTCTTTATGCGAGCTCGCTCAGCACCTCGATGAGGTCACATGGACCACCAAGAACTGGCACGGGCTGCAGATGCAGCGCTTGTCTGTCGTTCTCCACACCGCCGTGGCGTGGCAGACGGTGAACGAGCTAGCGTGCGGGGACAGCGGCATTGTGCACGGTGCTAAGTGCATTGCCGTTCTTAACGGAGTCGCTTAGGCGGCTCCGGTGGTGTGCCGGTGATAGTACTAGCACGCGCCAGTTCGCACCTGTGTCGAGCCTGTGTGCTGTGAGAGAGAGTTGTTTTGTTTAAATTCTTTATGCGAGTCGGATTGGGTGCGGTGGGGAGGTGTGGGGAGGTGTGGGGAGGTGTGGGGAGGTGTGGGGAGGTGTGGGGAGATGTGTGGAGGTGTGTGGAGGTGTGGGGAGGTGTGGGGAGGTGTGGGGAGGTGTGGGGAGGTGTGGGGAGGTGTGGGAAGATCTGGGGAGGTGTGGGGAGGTGTGGGGAGGTGTGGGGAGGTGTGGGGAGGTGTGGGGAGGTGTGGGGAGGTGTGGGGAGGTGTGGGGAGGTGTGGGGAGGTGTGGGGAGGTGTGGGGAGATCTGGGAGGTGTGTGGAGGTGTGTGGAGGTGTGTGGAGGTGTGTGGAGGTGTGGGGAGATGTGGGGAGGTGTGGGGAGATGTGGGGAGATGTGGGGAGATTTGGGGAGATTTGGGGAGATGTGGGGAGATGTGGGGAGATGTGGGGAGATTTGGGGAGAGGGAGATGTGGGGAGATATGGGGAGGTGTGGGGAGGTGTTGGGAGAGGTGGGGAGATGTGGGGGGTGGGGTGGGGGTGTGTGTGGGTGTGTGTGGGTGTGTGTGGGTGTGTGTGCGTGTGTGTGGGTGTGTGTGCGTGTGTGTGCGTGTGTGTGCGTGTGTGTGCGTGTGTGTGCGTGTGTGTGCGTGTTGTGTGCGTGTGTGTGCGTGTGTGTGCGTGTGTGTGCGTGTGTGTGCGTGTGTCTGCGTGTGTCTGCGTGTGTCTGCGTGTGTCTGCGTGTGTGCGTGTGCGGGCGTGTCCGTCACGGCTACTACCACTATTAATACTACTGCTACTACTAGTACCACTACTACCACTACTACCACCGCCACTAATAGTACGGCTACTACTACACTCTACTACTACTATTGCTACTACACTACCTGGGTACGCGTGTGGACGTGTGGGGCGTGAGTGCCCGCACTAGGCTTGCACTGGCGCGCGTGTGAATAAGCGAGCATGTGTGGGCGTGTGGAGTGCGGTGCGCGTGTGGCTTTCTGTGAGCGGAGGTCTTCATGTTTGGGCCTCTTAGGGGCTGCATTAGCGCGCGATGGTTGCAATAGTGCGACGGTGACATACTGTCTGGGGGGCGAGGGTCGGGCAAGGCTGCACACCACGCACACATAGGCATACACACACACACATACACATCACATGCACACAGACACATGCACATACACACACACACACACACACACACACACACACACACACACACACACACACACACACACACACACACAGGAAGAGAGAGAGAGAGAGAGAGAGAGAGAGAGAGAGAGAGAGAGAGAGAGAGAGAGAGAGAGAGAGAGAGAGAGAGAGAGAGAGAGAGAGAGAGAGAGAGAGAGAGAGAGAGAGAGAGAGAGAGAGAGAGAGAGAGAGAGAGAGAGAGAGGGGGAGAGAGGGAGAGAGGGAGGGGAGGGGGGGGGGGGGGGGGAAATTCATACAAAAAATACTGGGGATGAGGGGATTATCGGAGGAATTTGCCACTCGGGGGCGTCGTCAGGGGCTCCAAAGGGGATGTGGCTGATCCGGGAGAGAAGGGTTCGGGTGCGTGGGTTAAAGTAGTTGAGGCCATCCAGCTGGGTCGCGAGGTTGCTTCCCCGGAAGACGGAGTCGGTGCCGTGGTCCGGGATGAGAATCTTTTCTGGCCGCGTCCCTCCCGCTCCCCTGTCCTCTCGACTGCTTCCCTCTTTTACATACATAATTCTCTATCCGGGAAATCGGTGTCTGTCTCAAACACAAACGCACAGCCCCGCGGCCCAAGAGACACCTCGCTGCATCGCGGGGGGCGCGCAAGCACACTCATCACTGTGGAGTTCACCAATAAGAAATCTAGCACACCTAGTGGCTTGGGCTCGGCAGCTTGTCAACTCTAGCCGAAGCCAGAGTCGGAATGCCGAAGCCAGAGTCGGTCGGAGCCGAGGAAGTCGTCGAGGCGACCGAACATTTCGTTCACGTCGCTAGAGTAGAGCCGGTGCCACATGTACATGTTGTTGCACATGTGATTCTTCTACGGCTTTAGCTCCGTGCACTCGCCATGCTGGCCACAGGCCGTCGCATGCACGGGCAGCTCAGGAGCAGGAGTCCTTGGTGCACATGTACCCTTTGGAGCGGCAGCAGCAAAGTGCGCCAGCCTGCATCACGCAGTCGAAGTCCGGTTTATTCGGGTCGGGGTCTCCGCACTTCCAGTTCTCGATGCAATCGTTGCCTGGTTCAAACCAGAATCCAAGGCCGCCTTGCGGCATGGGGGCGAGGCCGTGGACGAGCGCGAGGTGAAAGACGAGAAACCGAATCATCATCAGGGCCTATGAATAAGGAGACGCGATTGGCGAGCGAGCGGGGAAGCGCATCGCATGGTGGGTGGGAGTGGCGCGGGCGGGGCGGGCTCCGTGAGCAATAGGCGTCGCTCGCGTGAGCAACAGGCGGGCCCCGTGAGCGATAGGGGATCCAGGCGTAGGGGCGGCGGGCCTGGCGGCGGGGCGAGAGCAGTGAGCTTCAGTGATCTTGACGGGAACCAAAGGAGGCGGTGAGGGATTACCTACCTCGAATTCTTCCCCGCACAACAATCCAGAAAATTCCTATGCTTCTTCCCCTTGCTTGAGTACTCACTACCGAGCCTGGCTGTTCTTCACCTTTCTACCTACCTACCTACTCACTCACTCACACACACACATGAAGTGTTGGGTCGTCTCTAGAGGCTGCTTATCCCAACCGCAGGGCCGGGGAGCTAAGAAGCGCACCCAGAGGCCGGGCGATTGGAGAGCACTCACTCGCCTTTACTCTGTTTTGGTGCTGCTTGGAGGAAAATTCTTTATGGGGCGGCGAAGGAGGAGGAGCCCGAAACGGGCAGCGGGGAGGCTGCGGCATTGGCCGCGCCCCTGCGGGGCCTGGCGTCTGCGCCAGGCTGCGCTGGCACAGCGGACAGGGTCACTTCTTTTTTCGACACTCTCCGCCCCGCTTGCAACGCGACAACGGCTTCATCATCTTCATCATCCTCGACATCCATCGCCGGTGCGGCGGCCGGCGAGGCCGCGGCGGCGGCGCCAGCGTTGACCAAGAGCGCTCGGAAGCGGCTCAAGGAGAAGGCGAGGAAGGGGCGGCGCGCTGCAGAGGCGGCGGGCGAGCCGGAGGTGGCGCCATCGCCGGCGCCGCCGCCGGTGTTCAAGACGCTCAGGGAGAAGAAGGCGGCTCAGGCGTCAGCGGAGGGCTGGGCGGCGGAGGTGGCGAGGGCCGAGGAGCTCTACGAGGAGCTGCGCGAGCGTGCGCCCCAGCACTGCCGCCGTGGCGGCAAGTGGGCGCGCGAGAAGTTCGTGATGGCGGTGCAGGGAGAGTTCCCGCGCGCGCGAGGGGCAGGCGTTCCCAAGGGGACGATCCTGTGCCTCGGCAGGGTGCTCGACGCGCACGATGAGCAGGATGACGCGGAGGGTGGGCACCGGGACTGGGAGGAGGACCCGCTCGGGTTCGACACCAACCCGATGCTGCTCCGCGCCATGTGCATGGCGTTCGAGTGAACGCCGTGCAGGCAGCCCGTGCCTTTTGGTGTACCGCGTTTGTACCGCGTCCTGTGCCCCCGAGTTCATTTAATAAAAATTCTTTGCTCGACTTCGAGACGTTCGGCGGCTTCGGGGACGGCGTCCGCAGAATTCTTCGGCAGGCGGCGGACCAGCTGAGTAACAAACTTTCGCACGCTCAGCACCTCGATGAGGTCACATGGACCACCAAGAACTGGCACGGGCTGCAGATGCAGCGCTTGTCTGTCGTTCTCCACACCGCCGTGGCGTGGCAGACGGTGAACGAGCTAGCGTGCGGGGACAGCGGCATTGTGCACGGAGCTAAGTGCATTGCCGTTCTTAACGGAGTCGCTTAGGCGGCTCCGGTGGTGTGCCGGTGATAGTACTAGCACGCGCCAGTTCGCACCTGTGTCGAGCCTGTCTGCTGTGAGAGAGAGTTGTCTTGTTTAAATTCTTTATGCGAGTCGGATGGTACCAGTCAGCCACCTCTCTGTGGCGATGTATCGCCGCGCTACCACCCCGTCGTACCGCCGCGCCGTCTCCACCCTGCCGCTCTCGCTGACCAAGCGGCCTCTGCCGAGCACACCGCTACGCACCGAGCTCGAGTCGCTGTTCTGGCGCCGTCACCAGCAGAAGACGGGCGTCAAGCCGGAACTCGCCGACAAGCTGGAGGCGGCACGAGGAAGCGGGTACGCGAACCGCTCCGCGCTTGCCCTCCACCTCGCCAAGAGCTGGAAGGTGAAGCACGCGGATTCGCGAATGCACGAAGAGGCGGAGCGCTGCACCGAGTCCTCCGTTACAAAGCCCGGCTGCGTGGTCACGACCTTCGCGCTCGGCGTTGGAGGCACCGACCTGGGCTTGCTTCGCGCATCCATCTGGCCAGAGGGCCCCGACTCTGGCGCCGAGCCGTGCAAGACCGCACTTCTCTTCTCGCTCCAATCCGACCCGGCACTCCCTCTCGCCCTAGCGGGCTACCCCCTCATTGAGAAGGCGCGAGACACACTCACAGCGCCGACCGTCGGAGTGCAGCGTCTCCTCGGCATCGCTGCCCTGCCAGGGCTGTGCCAGTGGATATGCGACGAGCGAGCGTGGGAGCGGATCGAACGCGAGCCGTTTGAGACCGAGGTCCGCCCACCTTCCTGCTAGCGGCTACCGAGCCGCCGTGACCTCCCGCCTGCGTGTCTCCCTCTCGCAGGAGGAGTGGCGGCGAGCGCAGGAGGCGGTGGAGGGGGTCGCGCGTGGGGAGGCGACGCTCGAGGCGGGCCAAGGCACCTTCGCCGCCGCGAAAGACAGCTTCAAAGGCCTCGCCCTCGAGTACGCCTCCCTTGAAGACGTGGACGCCGAGAGCACGGCGATGGAGCTGGCTGGCGGGCGGCTCGTCGGCGCGACGCTGTAGAGCGCGCACACGCAGCGCGCGGAAGAAAGACGGGACGCCCGCCGCCCGCCGCGCCCCAGCCGCGCACACCCGACGGCGAGGCACGAGAGAGAGGGAGGGCGTGGCGTGGCCGTCGAGGCACGGTGCGACGCTCGCTGTGGTTAGGCACAGCCCACTCTTTCCTTTGCACCTGATGCTACAGAGGGCTGACAGCGCGCTGACATCTCCCCGCGGGAGGGAGCCCATCGCACCACCAGGTGGAAGAGAAGAAGTGGGCTGGGTTAGGCATCCCCGGTGGGTGGTTTCACCTGTAGAAAAGAAGTCTCTCGTCCCGTGTGTCATCGACCCCTTCCGGTGCCCGTTTTCTTTCTTTCTTTCTTTCTTCACCGCTCCCTCCCCTGCGAGCGGGGCGGGCGGTGCGCGCTGTGCCTCTGTGTTCGTGCGTCGCCCATCTGTAAGGGATGTCGGATGATGCCTGCTCTAATTATTTATTTATTCCCCCACCCCTCGTTTGGCGTGTCCGACTCATTTATTCAGCGGTAGAGAATCACGGTCCGTCCCCCAAAGTGGCGTGGGGTAGTAGAGGGACCCGCCCTGCCACTGGGCACAGCGACTGCCCCGCCGACGCTTCGCGCGCGCTTTCGAGAGACCTCACGCAGCACCCACAGCGCCGGCAACGGCAGCGCCCGCGTGGCACGCCGCGCATACCAGGCGCCCGCGCGCACCGCGCGCGGGCGCGTCACGCACATCGTCGATCACTCCGCCGCATCGGGCAGCTCACACACTCGCGCGCCCAACACGCGCCACACACCCGTCCCGGCCAGAGCTGCAAGTTCAGGAAGGCATTCTCGACGTTTTCGACGGCCTGCGGGTGCCACTACTCGCGGCCCTTCAAAAAAGAAACACGGCACTCAAGAAAAAGAAACTCGCTCGAAGTACCTCGCCTTGTGGTGTCCAAAGGCGTGCGAGTAGCCGACCGCCGAGAGGGAGAGGAGTAGAATATAGGGTGGTGTTTAGAAACACCGGGTTCGGATTCAGTCTACTCGAAATGTTTGATCTTGTAGTAGAAGTTGTGTGCGTGGTACCCGTCAGCCCGGACCGTGGCTGGTTTTGTGATGAAGGTGGGAGAAGGGTACGTGTCGGTGTTGCCACGGTGGAGCGAGTGGACCTTGCCGCTGATGGTGATGCGCGGCGGGTCCATGTGGTAGCACTGCTCGACGCGACGAAGGGGCCTGCCCGCTGGCGCGACGCGGCGATGGAACAACCCCTTGCCGACGGCGTCAGCGGCCGCGGCCTTTGCCCACCGTCGGCCTCACCCTCGCCGCCACCCCCGTCGGCCTCGCCCTCACCGCCGCCCCTGTCGCCCCTGTCGGCCTCGCCGCCGCCGCGGCCACCCTCTGCCTTGCCCTCGCCGCCGCCTCAGGGGCGTTCAGCGGCACCGGCGAGGGCAAGGCAGAGGGTGGCAGGGGCCGGCGGTGCTTGTTTTATGCGTTTTCGAGATTGGAGATGAGAGATGGTCAGTGTGAATGAATCCATAGCGCATCTCCTTGAAGGTTTGAGCCCCCCTCCTCCCCCGGGTCCCCAAATCGAGATTGGAGATTGGAGATTGGAGATGGAGATCGGAGATCTGACTGAATCCGGCCTAAGATGACGACGTTGGAGATTGGAGATTGAAGATGGAGATCGGAGATCTGACTGGATCCCCGGCCTAAGATGACGACGCTGTGGATTAGAGAGTATTGGAGATGGGGAGATCGGAGCCTACCCACCCCCTAGTGGTGTTGATAGATGTTTTATAGATTTTTGTTTTTTCCTGCGGTCTGTGCTAGTGGGGGAAATGGCTCAGTGGGAATAAATTTTCTCGGCCGAGGCTGAGTCAGGCAGGTGGCCGCCATTCTGTTCGGTTTTGGCCTCTTTGTGTCCCTCTCAGCTCACAGCCATCACCCTCCCGCCTCCGCTGGCACGCGATGCACCCTCCTCCGATGGTGCCGAGGGTGCCTCGGCGCAGTCCTGATGGCTGCCGCCACCTCCGCCCTCAGGAAAGGGGCACGACCGCTGCACGACCGCTGCACGATGCCGCTGACCGCGAAAGCGGAGAGGCGCAAGCGACGCAAGGCCTCCGAGGTGGCCGCTGCCTCCGTCGAGCCCGAGGTCGCCACCGAGGCGCCGGAGCCGCCCGCCGAGCCCCACAACGAGTCGGAAATGGAGGTCGAGCCGGCAGCGCCCGATCAGACGGCGAACCGCCTCCTGCTCATGACGGCAGAGCACGAGGCGGCGGTGGCGCGGCGGTTGCTCCAGCAGGGCGGTCGCTGTTGGCTGCATCAGCTTATCGATGACGACTCCGAAGTCTTCGAGAGCGAGGCGAAGGAGGAGATGGTGATCGTCGCGCGGGAGGTGGACGACTACTGCTTGATGGTCGGCGACACGCGGCCCGAGGGCATCTTCGGCTCCACGCTCGCGGCGGAAGCCGTGGTGGCGGCCCGCGATTTCGAGGAGTGCGTGAGAGATGGGACGATTGTCGGCCGAGGAAGATTAGGCGACTGGGTAGTTCCCGATCTCTCCGAGGAGTACGACGACCTGACGGAGGCAGAAGAGGCCGAGGCGAGGGGGCTGGCGGCTAGAGCCAGCTATAGGCGCGCGATCCACCAGCCTCGACTGCGTCACGGCGCAGGAGAACTCGCTGCGCGCAAAGTCCCCGGAGCACCGCGCGCGCGCCGCCGCCATCCTCGTCGCGCGCTGCCACGCACTGGGCCTCCCGGTCGAGCCCTAAGCACGCCACCTGCCCCACCCCATCCGCCCACAAGCTGAAAAACCCAAAAAAACAGGTGTTTCTAAACACCGCCCTTTCCTGTACCCAATGCCCAAACAACAGACGAGGGCTTTTCCGCGGACCTTCAAAACTGTCACGCACGGCCCACAGGCTGCACGACAAGAGCGAGGAGGCGGTGCGGGCGGCGGCCGGCTGCACCGCCTCTTACGAGTTCGACACGCCTCTGGCGCTCAGCTCGTTCTGCCCGGACGGTGAGAGTGGCACGGTCCACGGCGCGCCAAACCTCCGCCTCCCCACCCCACCGCAGGTGCGACACATCGACCTCGACGACGAGCTGAGCGACCACATTGAGCCGACGCCGCACCCCGCAGAGGGCTTTCCTGGGCGGTGGTGAGGAGATGGTGAGCGGCTGCTGCGCTTTCTGCTTTGATTCAGCTGCCCGGAGAGAGTGTGCGTGGCGCGTCGTGGGTGGCTGCCCCGCTCAGAAAATAATATGCGGAGAGATCTGGCGCGAGAGAGGCGCGAGAGGCAGGGGGGGCACACCCGGACCGCTAAGACGTCGTTTATTTTGCGTGGCTCGTGTGAAGGACTGAAGCTCTTTTCAGGAGCTAAGTGCATCGCCGCCCTCGGCCTCGCGTCCCGTGCCCAGTGTCGTGCGAGGGAGACTTGGTAAAATTCTGAGGAAGCCGTCGCCCGCGCCTCGCCTGTCGCGCGAATCGTGTCGTGCGGCCGCCCTGTGAAATTCTTTTTCAAGGCGGTGCGCGCCTACCCGAACGTGAGGGGCACGCCGGCGGCGCCTCCCGACGGCAAGTACGCGGGCGGCACCCTGCGAGGCATCCGGGTGCTCGGGGCGTACCTCGGAGACGACGAGTGGCGGAAGACGGAGCTCGTCGCGAGAGTCGAGAGGGCGCTCAAACCTCTCGAAGGCATCCTCAAGCTGCGCGACACGAAGGAGATCCACACGGCGCAGCAGGTGATGCAGGTCCTGCTGCGCTTCTGCAGCAACACGACACTCACCTTCTTCCTCCGCGCCATGCCGCCGTCAGTCACCCTCCCCGCCGCTAAGAAGCACGACGACCGAGATGATTGACACGGCGCTGACCTAACTGCACGACGCACTGGACCATCGCAACTCCAACAGCGATGGAGGAGCATCACCACGACGACCGAACCGCGGAGTGCCAGCTGCCCCCCTCGAGGGGCACTTCGCGGCCAAGGGCAGCACCCATGCTTCACCAACTTCACCATGTACCTTGCCAAGACCAAGAAAGGGAGGGCGGCCACGCCGACAGTCGCGGCGGCCTGATGGCCGCCCTCCCCGGGGACGATGGGGACCCCGCCGCAAACCCCGTGCACCCCCTCCCAGGCTCCCAGCGGGCGAGTCAACCAGCCCCGCGCGGCCGAGCAATCAGCGCCTCCAAGCGCGGCCGCGTGCACCGCCGGTAGGAAGACCGGCGGGCCGCTCCACGGCGCGGCGGCCCCCGGTGGCGGCGGTCGGCCCGAAGCCGACCCCGCCGCGCGCCTGCCTTCCGCAACCCTCGGGCTTCAATGCCACCCATCGGGAAACCCGCCCCGCGACACCGGGCCCTCCGCCTGCTCGGATCCAGCGAGTAGACAAGTGTTGTCATCAACAGAGTAGAAGAATCTGACCTCAGGGTCATTCTTAACATCGAAGGCAAAGAATGGTGAACATAAAAAGAAATACTCCTGCAAGAGCCGCCGCGTGACTCCATCCGAGGCGCCGAACAACCCTTGAGCACTACCTTGAGCACAAGCAACGCTCCTACAGAGGCGCGCTCTGCCCCGAAGAAAAGCCGCACATCCTAGCAAGCCGCGCCGGCCAGCCGTAGCGCCTCGCTGCCACGGCGACTCAGGAAATAAAACGTGCAGCACAGCACCGTTGCCTCGCGTGCGTCGCTTCGCCAGCGCTCGCGCACCACCCCCTCTGGGCTCGGGCCCGGTGCCGTGATTCCATCGTCGTGAAACATGAAGAGTGAGCCATCGCTCTATTCAGATCCGGGAGCCCGTCGCCCAGCAGCACTCGTCTGCATGACTTTGCAAACCGCTCGCCATGCCGGCCCGTCCCGCTCACTACTCCGCTGCCCCGCCCCCTCGCAGGTCCGCCGTGCGATGTCGTCTGAGGCACAGGACGATGAAGTGATTCCGACAACTACTTCAATGGGGTATCAGAAACTGACCGAACCCGACATCGAAACCGGCGACTCTTTGGGACCGGCCGCGAAAGGTGGGTCTATTTCGATGACGAAAGGCTTCCTCGCAACTTTGCTCACGGCAAACACCTGCTGCACATCATTTGTGTGGATAATCCTCGGCGCCGTCCTGTACATGAACGGTTTCACACCTCGCGCATCTGAGCTTCAGCCGCGCCTCGATCCCCCTTCGCCCCCGCCACCCCCACCAGGAATCAGCAGCTCCTGCACGATTTACCACGCCAGTGCGGCCGTCTTCGAGGGCGTCATGCACAAGATGACGGCCGACGGGCTCACGGAGGTGGAAACCGAAGAGGGCGAGATCGCAACGGAGGGAGACGACGCGTCTCTCGGTTTCAGCAACGCCTTCGCTCCCACCTTCTTCGACCTCGAGTGCCTGCTTGCAAACGGCACGGGCGATCCCTGCGACGCGTATGTGGCCGAGGCTTTCGCAGACCAGATGTTCGATCCTCTGCGCGTAGACTCGCTGGTGAGGCTCTGGCTTTCCACGATCTTCCTCTACTCGCTGGCTCAGATTGGTGGCATCCCACGGCCACGGTTCATTGACCGCAGGATCGACTGGCCCGGATGCGTCTTCTGGCTCTCTTGGATGGTGACACAGCTGTGCCAATTCTTTGTGGTCGGCATTTCCCTGGGGATGCAGATTGTCGCCTTCTTCGGCGTGTACGAACGCACTGCGCCTTGCATGGTCAGGGTCGACAACTTTACGCTTCTGGACGAGTTCGCGATGGTCACGTTTGCGGCGCAGCCAGCGCTCCTCAGCAAGCTGCTGCTTCTCGTCATTTACGGTTACCTGTTGTCGCTCGGCGGGCTCGTCTTCATTGGGCGCAACATGAACGAGGTTGACTTTAAAGCTGAGGCTAGCAAGACCAGCACGCGCCTCGTGCAGCCGATCCCGCTTGCGAGCGTGCTCTACTTCATCTCACGGTGGGCGCTGTATGGCATCTGCCTGGGGACCGTCGGCGGCTGGCTTGGTGGGCTTGGTGGACCGGTCGCCTCGTGGGCGGCCGCGCTGGTTGGGTGGATTCCGAGCAAGCCCAACCCGAGCCTCGTGCCGCCGATCCCGTTGTACCATGAGCTCTTACTCATCTCATGGTGGGCGCTGTACTGGGCGCTGTACTGCCTGGGGACCGTCGGCGGGTGGCTTGGCTGGCCGGTCGCCTTGTGGGCGGCCGCGCTGGTTGCGGCAGCTGTGGGCTCGTTCACGGGAGGATTCAAGCGAGGGAACGACTCGCTATCTCGCGCAACAATCGCCGAGTGCGCCCTTGGCGTTCTCCTCGCCCTGCCGATCCTGCCGAATCTTGTCTACCTGCCTCTGGGGGGCCTCTTCCTTGCGTTCGTCAAGCTAAGCTTTGCCGCCGGGCGGAGTTCACTCGATCTGATTGACTCGACAGAGGAACTGAACTGGGCCCGCTGGAAACGGCTCGAGGCCCTTACCAAGACCGCAGCGGCTGCCACCAAGCCGACCATCAGCTGGCTCGCCCCGCTCGGAAGCCTCAAGCTGTCCAGCGGCATGTCAATGGTGGTGCAGGGGCTGCCGTACACCGAGACGAGCCTCTCAACGCTGGCGGGCGGAATTGCTTCCGTGCTGGGCTGCCTCGCGCTCTCTCCACTGGTTGCATACGGCACGTGGGCGGCGGAACAAGGACGGCTCGAGCCCGATTACGATGTCGAGGCCAGCACGGTGGACGCGGTGCAGGCACGGCTGTGGATACTGTGGCTCTTGGTGGTAGCCATGCCCGTGCTGCTGTCTTTAGCCGACGAGTTTTTGGAGGGCAAGCTCCTCGCCAACAGGTGCCTCAACATTCTCCTCACCAACGCCTTCCCCTTCCTCCTCGCGCTCGCCATCATCTTCACCTCGCAGGACGACTCGTTCATTGAGAGATTAGTCTACGCCGACTCGCCCATATGGAAGCACGCGCAGGTCTGCTACGCCGACTCCTTTGCGTTCCTCGCCACGTTGCAGCTCGACGTGTCGGGTCTGCAGCCCTTTATCGACAGCGTGATGGCGGACATGGTCGCCTTCACGGGCGACCCGTTGGGGGCAGCGCAAGAGGTTGTCGCGCGCCTGGCCGAGATCGCAGCGGACCCGCTAGCGCCTGTGGGGGAGGTGGTTGAGGCGGTTGCCAACATGTCGCGCTATCTGGAAATCGACGCGTCCTACTTTGTGGAACACTCGGCGGCGCTCGACATTCTGAATGTAGCCCTGGGGCTGCTCAAGTTGCTGGCCACCTACGGACGCAAGGCGTTTGCGTTCTACGATGTGGTGCTGGGACTTTTCAGCGGAGAGAAGAAGGAAGTCGACGAGGAGGACGACGGGGTGGTGCAGGTGCACGAGTGCGTGGCAGATCCGAAGAAGGCGCAGCACGAAGCCGATTTGGGGCTGATTCTCCAACGAGGCGTTTACTCTGAGGATGAGTCCTCGTTGAAGGTGACGAACGCCGGTCTTGGGGATGGGGATGCGGCGACTCTTGCTCTCTGGCTGAAGGACAACAAGGTATTGACCTCCTTGGACGTGGGCGGCAACAGCCTCACCGAGGAGGCGGCCCTGAGCATTGTGCGCATCGAGAGGCAGCGCAGCAAGCTCACCTCGCTGGGCTTGGCTGGCTGCAGCGTCGGCCCGACTGGCGCCGCAGAGATCGCCGAGTACGTGTCGGGCAGCGCGGTGCTGACCAACCTGAACCTCTCCGCCAACGTCATCGGCGACGAGGGCGCCAAGGCGCTGGCATCCGCTCTTCGCAAGCCAGAGGGGGGTAGGGGAGGGACGGTCCGCCGCTTTGGGCTGCGCGGGGTAGGGACAGGGGCAGGGCGCCCGGCGAGAGCCAGAGATGCAGATGGCGTCAACAGGGTGCTCACCGACCTCAACCTCGGCAACAACGAGATTCGCGACGAGGGCGCCGCTGCGATCGCCGAGGCGCTGCGCGGCAACAGGGTGCTCACCGACCTCAACCTCGGCAACAACGAGATTCGCGACGAGGGCGCCGCTGCGATCGCCGAGGCGCTGCGCGTCAATGGGGTGCTGACCAAGCTCTACCTCGCCTTTAACAGCATCGGTGACGACGGCGCCGAGGCGCTGGCCTCCGCTCTGCGCGTCAACGGGGTGCTGAAAAACATCAACCTGCTGCGCAACGACATCACCGTGGAGGGCGCGGCTCTGCTCTTGAAGCTCTTCCGCAAGCGGCGGCACATGGAGTCGCTCTGCGGCGTCACGCCTGGCCAGACGGAAGCCAACTTTGCTAACATGCGACTCGGTGACGCGGACGCCGTGCTCATCGGAGCCGACCTGGAGTTTAACGGGGTGCTGAAAAACCTCGAGCTCCAGGACAACAGCATCGGCAAGGATGGCGCCGCTGCGCTGGCCTCCGCTCTTCGTGTCAACGGGGTGCTGAAAGACCTCAAACTCTGGAACAACAACTTGGGGGGCGAGGGGAAGGGAGTGATTCGGGATGCGGTGAGCGGAATCACTTCCCGCCGGCCCCCCGATGTGAGTTTTGGGTTCTGAGAGCGGAGTTGGCGCAGGGAGGTGCATGAAATCGGACAGTCTTGTATGTCTTGTAGCGCTTTTTGGAGTGTAAAGGTATCTAATATTTTGTTTGTTTTCAGCAGGGATCGACCTCAGGCTCAACAATCTTGGCTCGAGGCACTGCGAGGGGAAGGCAGTGATTCAAGATGCGGTGAGAGGGCGGGAAGGGTTCAAGTAGAGGGCCCACAGCGTCCTAATCTAAAATCTGAGGATTGAGGATTCAGCCTTCGCTTTAGTGAGGCCAAAGTGAGTTTATGGATGGGTGAGAACGATGCGCGACACGAGGAGGCACACGCACCGACTCGTCGGCGACTCTGCTGCACGCCGTTTCAGAATTTTTCTCAGCGTGAGCGAGACGTGGAAGAGTGCCACCGTCGGGTAGGACGGGTCGGCCCGGCGCATCGGAGTAGCCGTCGTGGTCGCGGCGAGCAGCGCCGGCCACTCCGGCGCCGCGTCGGCAACATGGGAGCATGTCCACCGCCACTTCGCGGTCGCAGCGCTGTTTGTCGCCCAAAACGCCGCCTATCCCTCTGGCGGGCCAAAGATCGCCTCGCATGTCGATTTTGACTCGACGGGGGCATGGAGGTATCACGTCTCCATGCCCCCGTCAAGTCGGAGCCAGTCTGCGGCGACCACAGCGCTCACCGCAGGGATAGGCGAGCTTTTCAGAGTCAAGCGATTGCGCGAAATCCCACACTGGTGGATTTTGGGGCGCTGTGGGCCCCAGCAAGTGTACGCCAACTCAGGGTGTGTGGCAGCCAGCTGGCTGTGTGTCTTGTGAGCTTGTTTGTGTCTGTGTGTCGCTGAGGGTGTGGCGTCTAATGCAGTGCATCGTGTTGTGGAGGGGTTGATGTCGAGCCATCTGCGCGCTCGGCACGAGCCCCTCAGGCGCCTGCGCGCCAACCACCCCCCCGGTGTTTTGACACCATTATTTGGTATATTAACCTCGCGGCCGCCTAGATAGACTGAAAGAGTTAGACACCGCAGGAGTGAGGCTGCTGCTGCTGCTGCTGCTACTTACTTGCTGCTACGTTAGCGCCTGCTGCTGCTGTTGCTGCTCCACTGCTGCTGATTGTGGATACGATTTCTCCGATCACCCCGCCCGCCCGCCCCGCCCCGCCTGCCCGCCCGCCCACCCGCCTGCCCGCCCGCCCGCCCGCCCGTCCAATCACCCGAGAACTGTTCACACCTGGGCAGCATTCGCGCAGGTACCGGGTACGAGTAGCGCTGGGAGTCGATGCCCAAAGCTCGTGGCGGCAAGGCCCGCCTCGGAGTGGAGTCGAATGACACATGCTGCTTGATATGCCTCGACCCGCAGCCGCAGAGCGCGCTCTTCTCCGCTGCTCTCCCGCCAGGCTCCGCCGGACCAAGCAGCGCCGCCGCCGGCTGCGGCCACGTCGCGTGCGCGGAATGCATGCAGTCGTACCTGCAGAGTGCGCTGCCCGCGGGTGCGCCGCAGTGGAGTGCGCCAGGCCCGCCATGCTTTGACGCGCCGGGAGGATGCATTGGCCGCATCAGCGGAGATCTCGCCGCGGCACTGCTCTCGCCGCAGCACGACGACACAGACAATGCCACCGCCGCCGCACCTGACGCAGACGCCGCCACCGACGCCACTGTCACTGCCACCGCCGCCGCCGCCGCCGCCGCCGACGCCGCCGACGCCGCTGCCTTCGCGGACCTCGCCGCCACCGACCTCGAGTGCCGAGGCTTCGCCTCGCTTCCGGTGAGTGCTGCCGCGTCGGAGGCCGCAGCGAGAGCCTTTGCGGCGGCGCGTCTCGCCTTTGATGGATTGGAGGCAGGGCCGCCGCCGCTCGGGCACGCCAGCCTAGAAGCGGAATGCGTATGCTTGCATTCCAACTTGCGCTCGAGAGGACACGGGTTCAGCTGTGTCTTCGCCTCCCTCGTCTTCACGCGGCGCTCTGAAGACTCTGCACAAGACCGCCTCCCCGCCCCGATGCCGGCGCGTGTTCAGCACGTAGGGGGCGCACCACCGATTCCGCAAACGCGAGCGGCTCGCACCGGGCTGGCGCGCTGAGCAGCTACAACGCGTGCCGCGAGGGCTTCGTCTTTAGCAACGGCGACAGCTACGGCGTGGACGGCGTGCCCGAGTTTGAGCCGGCGACGATTGCACTTCTGTCTGCGGTGACGCCTCTCCCTGAGATCGCACACACCGCCTCGTGTGCAATGCCCCCGTGTGTGCTCCGCGAGTGCGCGTGTGCCCCGCCGTCCGTGCTGACGCGTGTCACACGCACACACTGACCTGACTGGCTGACTCAAACTCTCCACCTCCAACCACCACCAGTCAGTCAGTCAGTCTTACACACCTCCAAGCATGGAGGACGGGCCCACACGCACACACACGCTGCACACGATTGGCTCGGGAGCCGACACGAGGCACACTGTCACCGGCCGTAGCACTGGGTCCGGACTGCTGGACACACAGCACGCAACCACCATCAACTCTTTGTAAACTGACTCTTCGTTCACTCTCCATTGATCAACCTCCGAGGCCTCGGCTGCTGCCCGCTCTCTCTTCGCCGCTCTCGAGCGTCAGATGCAGTTGCCCGCCGGCTGGTTCGAGGCGTCCTTTGGCCCCGTGCACAGACACACACACACACACACACACACACACACACACACACACACACCGCTCACCCACGCGCACCAGGCCTTGCACTTTGAATGCCGTGGGGCTCCTGTCGTTAGACGTGGAGACGCGAGGGTTGCCTGGCCCTTGCCCCACCACCTCGTGTGTGTGGAGAAGTGTACCTTACCTTACCTTACCTTACCCCGTGCGCTGTGGGAGGGGAAACCCCTAGGAACGAGTGGTGAAGCCAATCGTGCGTCCCTCTTTAGGCGTGCTTTGGCCCTTTGGCGGACCACTCGCAGTGGCACCTCAAGCGCTACTGCCCCGAGGCTGCGCCGCCGCACGCCACGACCGCAGACGGAAGGCGGGTGATGCTGCCGGTGAGGCCAGCCCTGCGGGGAGATATGGGGAGATATTGGGGAGATATGGGGAGATATGGGGAGATGTGAGGCCGGCCCTGCCAAAGGATGGGTTACACCGTGCACAGATGGGGGGAGGGGGGGTACAGCTGCGTGATCAGTACTCACCCCCTCCCTCCCCAAGGGCGGATGACATAAGGAGATGGCGATTCCGTCACGCGGCACCACTCCATACTGCAACCCATACTGGGACGCGCGCGCGCTCCAGGAACAGAGCTCCTGGAAACAGAACCCACTCTGGGGGTGGGACCCCACCACATGGTGTGAACCCCCCCTCCACACACACACACACACACACTCCTCAGCAGTAGAGTGCGTCTGCGCACCACCAGTCCATACTGCGGGGTACGCACACTCCCCCTGGGGAAAAGAAACACGGGGAGAGAAGACATCCAGGAGCCCCTACCTTCACACTGCTGTGAATAGGGACGTCACCAATACTCGGGCCCCATAGCACATGTACATGTGAGGGGGGGTAGAGCGGCGAGTACAGCGATGAGTTGCCCTCGCGCCCCCCTCAGGTGCACTCCGACCCCTCCCTCCTCTCGCGCGTCCTCCTAGAAGCGGAAGACAGGCTCTTGTGCTCCAACCCACTCTCGCGCCGGCACTCGCACTCCGCCGTATCCGGCCGTACTTGTGTCGCGCCTACTCGCGCGGTGCTCTGAGTACTCTCTTCACAAGACCGTCCTCCCCGCCCCCGCATGTCGGTGTATGCAGCACGTCGGCTCACCGTTGCTACCGCACCACCCACGGGACTGAACCCACACACTGGGTTCGATACTCTGGAGGTATGGGACGCGTAGGCTCGTCCTCCACGACGCGCCCGGCCGGCAGCCGGGCGGGCTGGCCTAGAAGCGCCATATGGGGAGATAGGGGGAGATATGGGGAGATAGCCGGCAGCCGGGCGGGCTGGCCGCGAAGCGCCATATGGGGAGATGGGGGGAGATATGGGGAGATAGCCGGCAGCCGGGCAGGCTGATCTAGAGCCGCATTGCTGCATTCCAACTTGCGCTCGAGCTGACACGGACTCAGCCGACTTTTGCCTCCGCCAGCTGTGTGTGCACATTGCATTCAGCCCACGGCTTCTCTTCCGCGATGGGCTCCCTCCCGCGATATGGGGAGATCTGGGGAGATCTGGGGAGATCTGGGGAGATCTGGGGAGATGTGGGGAGATGTGGGCTCCCTCCCGCGGGGAGAGAAGGAGTTGGCAGCCCTCTGTAGCACCAGGTGCAACGGAAGGCATGGGCTTGCATTGTATTCGCAGTACTCACGCGGCGCTCTGAAGACTCCGCACAACGTTGCTACCACACCACCCACGGGAACGAACCCACACACTGGGTTCGATACGATGGAGGTAGGGTACACGTGTCTAGCACGTAGGCGGGCTGGGGCTCGAGTGCATGGTCGGGGGCGCGGCGGGCGGGGCGGCGGCGGCGTGGGAGCCGGTGGCGGAGCACGGGCACTGCGTGGTGTGAACAGCGCCTCTTCACACCACTAGCTGCGAACAGGTGCCGGAGCACGGGCACTGCGTGGTGTGAACAGCGCCTCTTCACACCACTAGCTGCGAACAGGTGCCGGAGCACGGGCACGGCGTGGTGTGAACAGCGCCTCTTCACACCACTAGCTGCGAACAGGTGGCGGAGCACGGGCACGGCGTGGTGTGAACAGCGCCTCTTCACACCACTAGCTGCGAACAGGTGCCGGAGCACGGACACGGCGTGGCGACGGTGCTGGTGGGGGGCTCTAGATGCGGGCTCTCTCACACGCACGCGCGGAGCACACACGGGGGCGTTGCACACGAGGATTGATTGATAGAAAGGCGAAGAACAGTCAGGGACTGGACACCAACGCGGTGTGGGGGTGGACGCGGGTCAGAAGACGACGACGCGCGAGCGACACACAGAGACACACAGACACACATGACACAACAGACTCAGCCAGCTGGGCTGCCACACACCCCAGGCGGGGGGTGTCCGATCTCGGCAGAGGGCTGGCAGTCACATCCTAAGCAGTCAACGTCCTATCCGCAGCCTCACACCGATCTCTCACAGTCGCTCGCCTCATTGCTCACCTTTCGGTGTGTGAGATCGGAGTACGGTGCGATTTTTCTTCAGCCTTCGGCGAGAGCTAGGGATCATTAGGAGACTCAAGAGCATGCGTGGAGCTCCGGACCTGATAAGCAGTGGTCGCACTCCATCACGTAGGTGGGCGCGCTGCTCGACCGCATCACCGGAGGGCGCTACCGCGCCGCCCGCCACCGAGTGGTCGCCGAGCCCAGCGCGCACGCCTCTGCCGCGCGGGTGGCTGCGACCTTCTTCTTCCGCCCCGCGCCGGCGGCGCTGCTGCGGCGGCCGCCGTCGCCGCTGCTCGAGGGCGTCGCCGTGCGGGAGGCGAGATCCCGCGAGATCGGACGCGAGATCGGCGCGAGATCGGCGCGGGGTGCGTGCCCGCGCGAGGGCCGGCTGTGTGGGGTAGGTGACATTTGCGAGCTGGGTGCAGCGCGTCAACGGCAAGTACGAGCGCCACAAGGCTGCGGCGCGCTTCCCCGCGCCCCCTCGCGACCAGCCTACCGCCCGCGCTGCCGAGGAGTACCAAGGCTGCATGCAGGAGGTGGCGGGGCAAGAGGGCAGGGCCACGACGGCCGCGCTGGACTGCGTCTTCCGCTTCATTCGCGAGTGGATGTCGACGACGCATCCCGACGCCGACGCGTTCGTCGAGGTGGCGAGGGACGGGCTCATCGTGGCGAAGAACCAGGCGGGGCGGAACGTGGACTGGATGCACGACATGAAGAGCTGGTCGGAGGGCGTCACCTTCAACGAGACGCCCACGCCGAAGTGGGGCGACGTCCAGTTCCCCACCGCCTCGGCGCTGCAACGCGCCGCGAGCCGGTTCCGGGAGATGAGCGTCGAGGAGATCAACTCGCGCCTCGCGCCCGTGTCGACGGTCCAGCAGGACTACGGCGAGACGGGCTGCGAAGGAGGGCGGCGGCTGGAGGTGCGAGAAGGCACGTCTCTAGGGGGGGTAAGGTAACCTAAATTTCTTGACCGACACCCCAACCCCCAACGGCATGTTGTGCGAGTATATGGGACAAAAGCGTCGAAAATGTCCCAAAGAAGCGTGACTCGAGTTTGTGGCAGCCCCACAGCCGGCGCGCGCTGCCAGGAAGCACCGCTCGCGTGTCGGCGCACTCCCTGGCACCCAGTGAGTGCCGCGAACCGACCAGACGGAACAGGCTCGACGCCGCGCTCGCTGTGGGGCTGCCACAAAGTCACCGCCGAGCGTGCGCACCGAAGGCGTCCCGTCGGAGGTGATGGAGTGTGAGACCTGAGGCTGCGGAGGTGACGCCTGAGGTACCGGCCCGTGCACAGCGACCCAGCCGGCTACCGCCACGGGCTCAGGCGAGACCTGTCGACGCGTTCCGGCTCAGCTTCACCGTGGTCATTGGGCGTCTGTCGACGTCAGGACCGCCCATACAGCTCGCGGGTTTGAGGTCGCAAGAACCAAGATGGTGGCGTTTGGACATCCCAGCCATCACACAAGACAGCCTGTAGGTGATGGCGGGACGGCGCAGTGTTTGTGGCACTCGGCAGTAGGCACCCGCGGCACGGCCCCGCTGTCGGCTCTCGCGGGCTGCGGAACCGGCCCAGAAGGGGACGGTCCGGGCGAGTGTGGCAGCTCCTGCGCTAGCATGGGCACCCTGTATCATAGCACTACTGATCCTGGTCATAAGAGCTGCCAGGAATAGCGTCAGGAGCCGGTAGGAGTCAAAACCCCTCATATTTGAGACATCGTGTCCCATATGCTCGCACAACGAGCCCGCCCTGGCTGCGCCGACCCGCACAAAACACACACACTCCACACGCACATACTCAAAAACGTCAACAAGGCGCAAACCTGTCGTTCTGATGACCAGCGGGGGAGTGAGACCCCCCTTATCGCCCTATCCCATAGCCTAATAGGCCCTATGGGGGTGTGAACAAGCGGGAATTTCCGAGGGAATGTCGGGAGATGAGTTACAAACTCCTCTGCGCGGTGGCACGACTCAAAGAATAAGAAAGACGGCGTCATCCAAAGAGAAAACACTGTGCAAAACACCCAAAACCAGAGGGATGCACTAACCTTAGTTGAACAGGCATTCCCGTCCTCCCAACTTTGCTCGCGTCGGCGCCGCCGAGCGCTGCACGGAGAGCATATTCACTGACCACCAACGACAGGTGTGCGACTACGCGCTCGTCTACGCGGAGAAGAAGAACGACGGCGACGCGCCGAGGAGAGCCGGTCGGGCGAGGAGAAGGCCGCCTTCGGTCGCATGCTGGAGAACACGATGGTGAGCACACGCCGACCCCTCGCCCCTTCCCCTGATAGGATAGCGCCACAACATGCACCGCTCTCACGGCACATTGGTTTTGCATTCTGCATTAGGACCTCTGGTACACGCACGCCTCGGTCACTGTCGTGCTGCTCACGCAGCTGCCCGACGAGCTGCCCGCCGGCTTTGACCGAAGCCGGACCTACGACGCTCGCGGCTGGACGACATTCGAGCGGTGCTCCGCAGAGCTGGGCGCAAAGCCCGCCTGTTTGGGCTTTGCCAAGTGGAAGCTCGTCATCGACGTCGCCAGCGACGACGGCGGCGCTCAGCGGCGGCTCCCCGCGACTCCGGAGCGCATGGCGAAGCTGCTCGCCGCTTGCCGCTTCACCAACGGCGCGGACTCGTCGACCGTGCTGACGCTCTACGAGAAGACGGCGAAGGCAGTGCTGGGCACCGTCGAGAAGCTCGACTACAGGGGTTTGCCGATCGTGCGTGGCGACGCGTGGACTAGCCCGGCGCTGTTGGCGGAGGCGCTGAACTATTGCGAGAGCCTCCGGTACCTCGGCTTAGGAGGGGCGCGCCTCGACGACGAGGGCGTGGCGGAGCTTGCAGCAGGGCTCGAGGATGGCGCGCTCCCGGCGCTTGAGTCCCTCATCGTAGCGTCAAACCGCTACGGCGCGCGCGGCGTCGGCGCGCTCTGCGGCGTGTTTCATCGCGGCGTGGCGCCGACTCTGCAGACACTCGCCGTCGGTTTCACGCCTATTGGAGATGAGGGAGCCGCGGCGCTAGCTACGGCGCTGGCGACGGGCAAGCCGTCCCATGCGCTGGTCTTGACGTTCTGCGACGTGGGTGACGAGGGCGCGATGGCTGTCGCGGCTGCCCTCCCGGCCGCGGGTCAGGGATTTCGCGTGACCGCCATGTGGAATCCGATCGGTCTCACGGGCCAGGCGGCACTACTAGAGGCGCTCGAGACGAAGCACGGGCCGCAGCTGGGGCATGCGCTAGCGGTGATGCAGGTTAGCTTGCTTCCCATGTCGACCTCGCTCGTGCGCGCGTGGGGGCGAGGCTGGCGCCGTGTGGAAGAGAGCGGCCGAGTCATCATAATATGAGGGCAACCAAGCTCCAAGGCGCAAGGCCAAGGCGCAAGGGCAAAAGGGGGGGCGAGAATAATTTTTACAGAAGGTAAGGAAAGGTAAGGAAAACTTCTCCACACACACGAGGTGGTCACACTGTCGCTTACGCCTACCATAAACCCACGATAAGACTGCTCGACGCTGCGGATCAGCCCCAGTGCCCCTCCCAACCGTACAAAGGCTGCGGTGATTGATAGTATACAGGTAGGTAGGTAGAAAGGTGTATACACAAGCAACCCAAACACGTCGAAAGAATTACACGGGTTGACGCTCGACACTCCCACCATGGCTCGGATGTTGCTGGTGACGGAGCAGTGTCGTGACGGGGTGGTCACGGCAGGGGCCACCGCTCGCGCACACGTCGAAGGCGCGACCTGAGAGGAAGGGAACATTAAGTTCTTATGCCGTACCATCTGCCTTGGGTCGCTCGGCCACTCTCGTTGAAGCTTGGGCTCGACCCTTCCGCCGCTGCCGAGCCTACTCACACAGCGCGAGAACGACGCTGTTAGGTGGGTGGGTGCGTGATGCGCGTCGATCCGACGGCCGGTACGGGTGGCGAGGTGATGAGTGACGCCGGTACGATCATCGGGGTCCACTTTCCCGGTCGCAGGCTGCGATTGTTCACGTTTTGCGATGACCAGCGAAGCGAGTGCCTCGCTGGTCGTCGCAAAACGCCGGCCTGGGCGCGGTTCTTCGCTGCGCTCAGGTCCCGCTCGCATTCAGCAGTGTAAGACGGCTCTCTGCCTAGACGGAGGGCGCGTGTGGGATGCAGAAGTGTCGCAGGTCCAGCTCCACATCGGTTTGTACGCCAAGAGCTCTTATCGTGGGTTTCTGGTAGCCCCGTACCTAGGTACGACAGTGTGGGGGCAAGGGGGGGCAACCCTCGCGTCTCCACGTCTGACGACAGGAGCCCCACGGCATTCAAAGTGCAACTGCAATCTGCAAGGCCCAGTGCGCGTGGGTGAGCGGTGGTGTGTGTGTGTGTGTGTGTGTGTGTGTGTGTGTGTGTGTGTGTGTGTGTGTGTGTGTGTGTGTGTGTGTGTGTGTGTGTGTGTGTGTGTGTGTGTGTGTGTGTGTGTGTGTGTGTGTGTGTGTGTGTGTGTGTGTGTGTGTGTGTGTGTGTGTGTGTGTGTGTGTGTGTGTGTGTGTGTGTGTGTGTGTGTGTGTGTGTGTGTGTGTGTCCTGAGGGGTGGCTGGCCCGTCTACCGTCTACCGGTAAACTGGGGTAGACTGGGGTAGACGGTAGACCGTTTGGTAGACGAGTCTACCGCAGTCTACCAATGAACCTACGACTGCAGTCTACCGGTAGACTTGGTAGACCGCGGTAGACTGGTCTACCCCTTTTGTTATACCAAAAAAAGAGGGCTACACACGGCCCTCTACGCTAGGGCGCCGGCGCTCTACTGGGCGCCCCCCGCTCCCTTCCCCTTAGAGCCCCCCATCCCACTAGCATTCCCCCGCGGTCCCTCGCGGTCGCGCGACGCCGCACCAATGGCGCGCTGTGCCTCGTCCGCGAGCGCCGTCCAGAGCTGCACCGACAGTCGCTGCAGCGCAAACGGCATCCATTCGCGCGCCGACCACGACGTCTGGTCGTACTGCCACCACGTGGAGAAAATTCTACGTACTACGAAATAAAAAATGCTTTCTCGCCGTCCTCGCAGGAGTCGCTTAGGCGGCTCCCGTGGTGTACCTGTGTTAGTGCCAGTGCGCGCCAGTCCCGTGCCCAGAAAGAAAGAAAGAAATAAAACAGACAACCCAAGGGAGGGATGGGAGGACGGCACGCCGCCACCACACAGGGATTTTAAGGAGAGGTGTGTGGTGCGCTATCCGTCGCCCACCCTAGGGAGTCTGCCTCTTCCTATCTGCGAGGGAGTGAGCTAACAATTCTCGTCGCTAAAATTCTCGCCGTCCTCGCAGGAGTCGCTTAGGCGGCTCCCGTGGTGTACCTGTGTTAGTGCCAGTGCGCGCCAGTCCCGTGCCCAGTGTTGTGCGAGGACGGCTTAACAATTCTTTTCGCTCGTTGTAAAATTCTTTTCGCTCGATACCTCATGGGCACCCTTCACTCAAGGGTGGCGCGGGACGTAACACGAATGCTCGGTCGAGTCCACGCGCGCTGCTTCAGGGCGTCCGCGCCGCGCGCCGGCGGAGCACACAATCCCGAGTGGCTCGCCCCCGACCACAACACGTGGGCGACACACATCAACCACCGCATCTTTATGCCGATCGTTTACATGTGCCCCGTCGCGCTCGTGCTTTCACCATCGATGCTGGCGATGCCACTGGACTTGGCGATGGGTGTCCTCATCCCGGTGCGAGCCATGCACACTGCTCGCTCGCTGCGACCTTGCGAGGCTGCAGGGGCCACTGTGAGCCCGCGCCGTGAGCGGGCACGTCTCCTACTGCTGCAGGTGCACGCCCACTGCAATGCCAACATGATCATCTCCGACTACGCACACTGGATCACCAAGGCCAAGTGGTTTGACACCGCGCTGCGCATGGCGCTCGTGCCCGTGACAGGCACTCTCACCCGTGCCCGTCCTCAGTACGCGTCCTTTCGGTTTTCACTGATTGTGCGAGCACCCTGCCCAGGCCTAACCTTCCTTGGCCTTCTCAACCTCAACCTGCGCGGCCCGGGGCTGACCGAGTCGGTCAAGGCGCTCTGGCGAAAGCCGGCCGAGCCGTGAGAGTGGCCGCCGCCTTGACTGAGCCGCGTCACACACCTTCGGCGGACTGCCTGCGAGACGTGTGACTGTGCGTGCCGCGCGTGCGCCGCTCTGCGCCGGGCGGCCCGTGTGCCGTGCTGACGTCCCCGCGCCGCGCCCGCCCACACCCCGCGCGCTCGAGAGCCTGTCTCTCTCTCTCTCTCTCTCTCCACCTCCCTTCCTCGGCTTTCTCCTCCCGGTGGGAGTCGGGGTTCCGTACTTCAGTTAGTTAGGTAGGGAAACGAGCACTGTGCTCCCGTTCGAGTTAGCCCGCGTGACTGTGCCTCTGTTCACTTTGTTTGATTTGTCACTTTCTTTGGTGCCGGTGTCGGGCCTCTTCGGTGAGAGACGTGGGTTGACTCCTGTGTGTATCGCGCGCGGGCAGGCAGCGCGGTGATATTTCTTCCTGAGAAGTGTGTTGCAAAAAAATGCGCCCGCCGACCATGCCGTGCTCTGTGAGAGCAGCGCCGAAGCAGGACTGCGCCAGCTTGCCGCGGCCGCGGCTCTACCTCTACCCTGAGTGCATCGGCACGCCGCCGTGGCAGGCGGCCGACTCGGCGCGACTTAACTGGCTGTGGCTCGCGCTGCGCAAGTCTGAGTACCGTGTCACCGACGGTGGATGCGCCGACTTCTTTTTCCTCTCAAACTACCGCTCGGCCACAAAGTCTTCGGAGCGCGTCGCCACCCTGCTCAACAAGGTGGCCGCCGCCTACCCGTACTGGAACGCGACGTCACGCAGGCACCTCATCCTCATGCCGTGCGACCACGGGCCGGGCGACTGCATGTGGAAGCGGAATCGCGCCGTCTTTACCGGTGTGCCCGACGCTGCGAACGGCCTCCCGGGCGCGGCGATGCCGTTCAGCTCCCCCTCGCGGAGGAGCCTCGGCTTCGTCACGTACAACGGCGACCCTGGCCGTTGGAATGTCTTTGCGCCGGGCCTCGATGTCCGGTTGCCTTCGCACGAGATGCATGAGTGCGGCCCTTTCTGCGGGCTGCACCGGCTGCCACCGAAGGCGCGCCTCGCGGCGCTGCGACGCCACTCGCCGTGGTACGACGGCCGAATGCCCGCGCAGAGGTCATCCCGTGAGGGAGCGTGCGCCTCGGCCGCCGCAAGCGGCGCGTGGCTCTCCGCGCCGCGCCGCATAGAGCTCTTCTTCGCCGGGCGCCCATATCTCGCCACATCTCGCCACATCTCGCCACATCTCCCCACATCTCCCCACATCTCCCCATATCTCCCACATCTCGCCACACCTCCACACATCTCCCCACATCTCCCCGCATCTCCCCACATCTCCCCACATCTCCCCACATCTCCCCGCATCTCCCCACATCTCCCCGCATCTCCCCTATCTCGCCACATCTCCCCGTATCTCCCCACATCTCCCCGCAAAACTCGACGAACAACACTGAACAGGCGCATCCCAAAGGGCGGCCCGCGCGGCGACGTCTTTCGCCATCACCACGCACGCGAGCGATTCGTGCTGATCGATTCGGCGCATGAGGTGTGAAGAGCCGCTGTTCACACCTCGCTCTTCACGCCGCAGCACCGCCTTTTCACCGCTGGAGGTGTGAAGAGCATCTGTTCACACCTCGCTCCTCAGCAGAGAACGTCCAGCCGGCGGGTTTCGGCCGCCAGCGACGCCCTGCTGCCAAACCGGAGCAGCCGAGCAGACTGGTTCCCAGCAGCGATGGCCGACTCTGAGTTCTGCCTCTCGCCCCTCGGCGCGAACGCTGCCACACCCACCCACGGGACTGAACTGGGTTCGATCCTCTGGAGGTGTGGTACTAGGCACGAACGAGGGGGACTCGGACCGCTTCCTGCCGGCGCTGCTCTCGGCTGCATCGGACACGTACATCCATGCAGGACACGTCCATGACAGGTTCGAGACATGTGCACAGGCGCTGCTCTACGGCTGCATACCCGTCTTCAGCCTGGCGGACGAGGCGCGGCCCGTCGAATAGCCACCGCACCACCCACGGGGCTGAACCCAAACTGGGTTCGATCCTCTGGAGGTATGGTACTAGGCGCGGCCCTTCGAAGAGGTGCTGCCGTGGGACTCCTGCTCGCTGCGCGTGCACGAAACGGACCTGCCCCGGCTGCACACCATCCTCGCAAGCATCTCGCGGGCGCAGCGGGCGAGTATGCGCCGCGCGATGTGCGGCGTTTGGCCCGCGATGCTGTGGACCCGACTCGGTTTCGCAAGCTCCCGCCCCCGTGGCGAGGGCTACCTCGGCGAGAGTGGGCGCGCGGACGCGCTCGCCACGTTTATGGCGGTGCTGCGCCGCAGGGTAGAGGCGGACGCGTCGACATAAAGAAAAAGATTGAGCGGCAAGCGACTCTTATTGTCGGTCTCTTCTCTCTTGCTAGAGCTGTAGAGCTAGAGGGGGAGCACTTACCACTTTCGCATCGCACCTACGACCTCTCCTCAGCGAGGCGACAACGATCTGGAGACGCAGTGGAGACGAGGGAAGGGAGCGACGAACGCGCACAGAGGATGAGGATATAATCTGGGACGACGCAGCGGAGGGGATAGAACCTGGTTTGTGGACCTCCCGCACCTGTCCTGACAGTCCTGACAGAGTCCTGACAGAGTCCTGACAGAGTCCTGACAGAGTCCTGACAGAGTCCTGGCGGGGTCCTGACGGCGCACGGTCTTCACAGTGCTCACAAGTGCCTCCGACGAGACCTCCACCTTCCTTCACTGCAACCCTCCTTCCCCTCCCCCCCAGCAGTGAATGATAGACGCCCAGCCCCCCTTTCGACCGTGCGCGCCCTCTGCGGAATCGTCCTGATGGGGCAGTCCTGACGCAAACTTGAGAGTCCTGACAAGCAAACTTGAGAGTCCTGACAGAAACTTGAGAGTCCTGACAGAAACTTAGAGTCCTGACAGACAAAGAAATCACGCTCACTCTCGCGCCACTCGGCTCGACCATGAAAAGCGCACAAGCAAGAGAGGCGCGGCCATGGTGCAGGCAACGTTACAGCCGGCAACGTGCAAGAAGGCAGCAAAGCTCGGCCACGACGTCCATGGCCCGCGCGCCCCTGGTTTGCCACCGGCGGCCAGCAAGCCAGCGCCGAGCAGCGCGGACGGCTGACTGACTGCTGACCGAGGCAGCGCCCACGGCAGCGCCCACGGCAGCGCCCACGGCAGCGCCCACGGCAGCGCCCACGGCAGCGCCCACAGCAGCACCCACGGCAGCACCCACGGCAGCGCACACGGCTTGGCTGGCCATGTCAGCCGCGCAGGGACCCTCCCGCGGGTCCAACCCGAAGCGCTCGACCGCTCGACGGCGCAAGTCGGCTGACGGAGCGAGCCGCATAGCCCTCCAGTGCTCACCGCAGGATCAGGCCCGACCGGCCCACGCTCACGGCCTGGACTGCCTGTGGACCAGCAAACTCGTTGGCTGTACGCGAGCAAAGAGCTGCGTGGCTGGGTTGTGAGCATACCGTCCCCGTTGCGGCCTTTCCCTCAGTGGAGGGCCGTCCCTGCCCTCGGGAGTAACTCGACTGTACACCCCTCCCTACTCTCTAGCTAAGGGCTCTGTTCACAGCGGGGGGGCAGTGGTTGTCCTGGCGGAGTCCTGGCGGAGTCCTGACAGAGTCCTGACAGAGTCCTGACAGAGTCCTGACGGAGTCCTGACAGAGTCCTGACGGCCTATTTTGGAGGTTTTCAACTTTGAGGTATTGTAACTATGTGAGGGTGAAATGAATGAATCAGTTCTTTGGGACAGTGCAATCCTTTTAATTATTACCTCCAACTCAAAAAAAGTCTGATGTCAAACGGACAACGGGGTCCCTTATGGTGGCCTGTAAGGGTAAGGTGCGGGAGGTCCACAAACCAGGTTATAGGCGAGGGAATCGAGGGACCGGATCGCATCCCCCCCTAGCAGCCGCTCGTCGGTGGGTGCGACTGCGAGACCCGGGAGCGGCGCGAATGTGGTCTCTCGCGCGGGCCTCTGGTCAATGCTGGCGCCGGGGAGGGTGGGCAAAGCAGCCACGTCGCATGCGAGAAGCACTAGTGCAATGATGCTTCTCATGGAAGCGGTGCGGCGGGGAGAGTTGAGAGAGAGATTTTTAGCAATACCAAACAACTCTAACACTCACACGTAATTTGGGGCCTGGAGCCCTGTTCACGCGCGCGCGAGACGTGCAGACAGGGTTGCCAGGTGAGAGCGAATGGCGCGGTTCACGCCTCGCACAACAGAGAGAGAGAGATGCGCTCTGCATGGTGGGACATAAAAGAGAGCGAGTACTTGGGCGAGTAGGCCGTGCGGTCAACGCTGCCGCGCGCGACTTTGCGCGCGAGGCGGCGCAGCTTGAGAACGGCGGTGGGCGAGAAGCCGCCGCCGAACGTCTCGTGGAGCAGCAGGTTGAAGTTGTTGCGCTTGACAAAGATCGCGTCGTGGTAGAAACCGCGATGCGCCTTGACGTAGCCGTGGCCGGTCTTGTGGTCGAAGGGTTGGCCGGGCTGCCCGCGCGCCTTGCAGCCCATGTTTAGGCGGCGGGCCTTCTCTTCGGTGTTGTTTTGAGAGTTGTGTGCGGCGGTGCATTGCCGTGTGTGTGACCGGGCGCGGCCTGTACCCCGCCCGCAGCTGGGAGTGGGCCCGTTGATGATGCGTAACGGTCGGTAACAATAACGGGCATTGACTCAAAAAAATCGCTCCTCTTCGAGAATCGTAAAAAAGAATTCACGCAACTCTGCTGGAAAAAAAATTCTAAAGCGGCGGGCACGTCGCGCCGCATGGTGGCCGCGCTGCGCCGCTCGCCGCTGGCGCGCGGTTGATCGCGGCGCCGACTCCGCGGCGGCGCCATCTCACGCAGCGGGGCGCGTCGCGTCGTCGGCGCCAAAACAGACGCGAGCTCGCGGCGCGGCCGCGGCAGCAAAAACATCAACCGTCTGCTTCTCCTTCTCTTCTCGTCTCGTCTCGTCTTGTCGCAGGCGCACACGCGCGCGACGTGCGCTCGTGTCGCCGCGTTCGCTCCGCGAAGGACGATTCGAACCGGGAGCCAGCCGGCGCAGCGGCGGCACGCGGCGGCAAAACGCACGACGCTCACCTCATGGAGATGCTGCGGCTTTGGCACCTCCTGATATAATGCTGATTTTTTGCTGAGCGGGGCGGAGGCACCGGGCGGCGGAGGCGGCGGCGGACGACGTCTACTACCTGGCCGTCCCCTGTGGTAGCTTAGCGATCAGGGAGGATCTACCTGTTCGGCCTCGAGGAAGCTGCTGGGGGAGAGGGGGGGAGAGAGGAGAGGAGGAGAGGGGAGAGGATGAGAAGAGGAGAGGAGAGGAGAGTAGAGAGGAGGAGAGAGGAGAGAGGAGGAGGGGGAGAGGAGAGAAGAGGGGGGGGGTGAGAGGGAGGGAGGGAGGGAGGGAGAGAGGGAGGAGAGAGAGAGAGGAGAGCCTTTGAGCCTTGGCACCAGCCAGGCAGTTGATTTGGCCCTGGCACCAGCCTTGGCAGTTGAGTTGGCCTTGGCACCAGCCTTGGCGGGCGGGCACGCGGGACATGCACAGGCGCCAAGGGGCGCAGCGCCGACAATCACGGCGGTGATTGCGGCGCAGGTGGGGGGACGGGAAGTCCGTCGGCGTTGCCGGGGGCCCAAGGAAGCGCGAGGGAAAAATTCCGCCGCTGAGGGCGCTCGTGCGGCAATAGCCGGGTGGAGGGGGGAGCGTGCCGGACGGGGCGTCGTCGCGCCGTCCGACGGTCTGCTGCCCCGCGCAGCAACCGTCGGGCGACGACCCGGGGGCCAAAAACCCGGCGACGACGGCGCTCTGGATGGGGCGTGACCTCCTGCCTCCAACCTCCTTCCTTTTTGAGCAGGTGTGACGCCGCGCGAGCGACGCTCCGAGATCGCCCGAGATAGCGCGGCGCGGCGGTGGGTGAGGTGGGGCGGGGTGGAGAGGCGTGGCGTGGAGCTCCGAGATCGCCCGAGATCGCGCGAGATCGCCCGAGATCGCGCGGCGCGGCCCGAGGCGAGGTGGATGGGTTGGGAGCGAGGGGGCGGAAGTGATCAGTGCGGTAGATCGGTCAGTCGGGGCGCGTGAGCCGGACTTGTGAGCCGGACGGCTTTCATTTCTCTCTGCGTTGTTGAGCCAGGACTCAACATACTCGTTCTGTTGCCGTCCCAAACTGTCACTCCCCTTTCTCCCGGCCGGGGCGGGGCGCGCGCGGGGGCGGCGGGTGTGCGGCGAGTGTGCGGGATGTCTGTGGGCCCGAGAGCGATATGCCATGTGCGCCTTGCGTTTTTATATATAAAATGCGCCTTGCGTTGTTTCATAACATCGAAGGCTAAGCTCAAAAAACATGGCTACGCGCCCCCACACCCCGCCGTGCCGCCCCTCCTCGCCGCCGCTCTCGCGCGAGATGGCTGAGATGGCTGACCACGTAGCGGCGGTTTGTCGAGGTGACGAAGTGGCGGTGCGTGTGTGGCTTGAGGGTGGCGGGCGAGCGAACGCCACCCGCGAGCGTCGGGGCGAGGATGGCGAGGTGACTACTGGCGTAACGCTGCTGATGGACGCCGCCCTCGAAGGCCACGAGCGGGTGGTCGAGGTGCTGCTGCAGCACGGCGCGGAGGCCAACGAGCAGGACAGCGGCGGCTGGACCGCGCTGATGTGGGCCGCCGCCCAAGGCCACATTCGCTTGGTCGAGCTGCTGCGGCGGCATGGCGCTGATGCAGAGATGCGATGTAATGACGGTGGCACCGCACTGACGCGCGCCGCCCTCAACGGCCACGAGCTGGTGGTCGACTTGCTGCTACGGCACGGCGCGGAGATCAATGCGCAGGACAACGATGGTGAGAACGCACTGATGTGCGCCGCCGGCAACGGCCACCTCCCCGTCGTGCGCTGTCTACTGCAGGCGGGCGCAGACACAAAGGCACGCTCTGCGGATGGCAAGTCCGCGCTGCAATACGCCAAGGACGCGGCCAAGCTGGCTACTGACGACGCCAGTGCTCCTGAAACGGACCACGCCGGGTGCGTGCGCGCTCTCACGGAGCACGCAGCGGCACTGAGGGAGGCGGAGGCGGCAAAGAAGGCGGCAGAGAAGGCGCTCGAGGCCAAGGGGCGGCGCGAGCAGCGCGAGCGGGAGGAGGCGGTGGCGGCGCGAGAGCGCGAGCAGGCTGCGCGCCGGCGCGAAGCAGAGCGAGAGGCGCGCGAGGCGCGCCGGGCGGCGGATGGGGCGGCGCTCGAGGAGCAGAGGCGAGCGATTGCGGCGGAGGCGGAGGCGAAGCTGGCTGCTGAGCGAGCGGCAGCAGAGGAGACGCTGCGGGCGAGGGAGGCGGAGAGGCGAGCAGCAGAGGAGGCGCAGCTTGCGGAGCAGCGGGTGGCGGCGGCGGCGCGCAAAGCCGCTCAGGCGGAGGCGGAGCGGCGCGAGAAGGAGGCCGCCAACAGGAGGGCGGAGGAGGAGAAGGCGAGGCGGCGCGCAAAGGCGGCGGAGGCAACTGCAGCCAAGAAGGAGGCCAAGGAGAAGAACAATAAGGCCAAGAAGGCGCCGCCTGCCTTCAAGCTCGAGGAGGAGCGGAGGGCGAAGGCTGCGGCAGAGGCTCGCGCACAGGAGGAGAGGGCGGCGCAGCTGGCTGCTGAGCAAGAGGCTGCGAGGCGGGCGGAGCGGGAGGCGGCGGAGCTAGCGGGTGCGGCGGAGCAGGCGGCGCTGCGCGAGGCTGCAGAGCTGGCAGAGGCGCTGCGCCGGTCAGAGAGAGATGCGGAGGAGGAGGCGCTGGCGCGTCAGGTGTCGCGGTGCGAGGAGGCGGTGAGCAGCGAGTCGACCGGCGGCGGCGGGGACCTGATGCAGCGTGTCCAGCGGCTGGAGGCCAGCTTGGGCGCGGCGATCGAGGGTGGCCTCGAGGAGCGGGTCAGCGCGATCGAGCGCTTGATCGGGCCAGAGGCGGGAGAGGCGGCGGAGCAGCATCTGCCAGTCACTGAGCCGCTTGCTGCCGTCTCACTAGCGGACGCCGGCCTCGACACGGGGCGGCCGGCTGCCCCCGAGTCCACGATGGGGGGCGAGACCACATGCATCGTGTGTTTCGCGAGAGTCAAGTCGCATGCTGCGGTCCCGTGCGGACACTTGTGCGCTTGCGGGCCATGCTCTGAGCTGATGCAAGAGTGCCCGTATTGCCGCGAGCCAGTGATGATGTGGATGGTCCCGCGTCTGGTCTAGATTTGTAGTACCTCACGGCTCACGCACGCTCTCGACTCTCATCTCATACGGTATCCGATCTCGTCAAGTTTGTTTACTGAAATGGACAAGATCAAGCTTCGTGCGTGTGCCTCACTTCCCACACCTTCCTTCTGTGCTCCTGAGTCCTGTGGTCCTGATCCGCCTCCCCGCTCCCGCGGCTCTCCGACCTCTGTCCAGCTCCCCAGGCGCAAGGCTGTGGTTTACCGGTATCTAGGTGCTTTTCACTATCTGCAGATAAGGCAAAAACGGTGCCAGATAGGTATCTGCGGGTTGCTCTTTTCCGCGATTTTTTACAAGCAGATATCTGGGCAGATATCTGGTTGGTATCTGGGGTCCTGCCGTTGTCCCGTCGTGTGGCTGTGGCCGACCGGCCGGATTTTTGCGGGTGGTGAAGAAGAAATCTTCCGGGTGGTGAAAGGCCCGAAAAAATATTCTTCACGCAGCATTCACACAGCTCAACTTTACCGGCATCATGAAGGAGGTCGCGCCCGCCGATTCGACCCCGGTGCTCGATGAGCTCGAGCAGTACCTCGCGGAGTCCGAGGAGTCCGATGACCTCGAGCTCGACGTGCTCGCGTGGTGGAAGGCCAAGGAGACAAAGTGGCCGGCGCTTGCCAAGATGGTCAAGCAGTACGTCGCCGCACCGGCCTCCTCCTCGGGCGTGCTCTTCTGAGGTGTGAACAGTTAGGCGCTCGATACCCACTCTCGCTGCCTACTCGCTGCCTCGAGGGAGGAGGGGAAGACGTCGAGCTGAGCTTGCCTCGCTTGTACGGAGGCCCCTCCCCGAAAGGCAAGTATTAGACCCACGAAACCGAGACCCCTCCCCACCACCCCAACCCCCCCACCCCCTTGCTCCCCTCCCCCCCTCGGGAGGGCCGAACTGAGGCGCCCGTGGGGACCCCACAATTCCCTTCCCCCCTCGGAGGGGGCCGGACGGAGGCGTACCCCGTGGGCCCCGCTCTTTCCTTCTCATAGCGGCCACTCTTCGGATCGCTGGTCGAGCGACCCGGGGGATGCCCCGCGCGCCTGACCCAGGCGCGAAAACGAATCTGCGAGGCGTGGCCGCTCATGCGGCCCGATGGGGAGGAACGGGGCGAGCCCCCTCCAACCCACCCGCGCTAGGTCTCGGGGGACGAAGGGGTCACACCCGACGACCTCGGGAACTAGCCGGGGCAGTCGGAGAAGTGGCAACTCCGTGCACTGACGGTCGGCCGCCAGAAAACACGCCTCCGTGGCTCGGGTTACACCAATCCTCGCTACCCAACGCGGCGAAAGGATATCCACCTCGAGAACCTCGAGAGTGTGAACAGACGCAGCACAGTATCCGGCCTGGAGAAGTGGGGGTACATGCATGGGCTTGAGCACGGCGAGGTGGGGTACATGGGCTTGAGCACGGGCAAATCCACGGGGCCAGCATTTTAGCGACTACTAGACGCGGAGACAACGAGTATGCGGCCCATTTGCTGGACGTCTTCCATCGTGGCGGTCGTCGCCGTGCTGGTCGTGTGCAGCAAACGGGCTGTTCCGAGCAGGGGCCTGCAGCCTCGCTCTCTCGCACCATCCGGCCTCCCGGAGCGCACAAGCGACCCCGGCAAGGCCTTTGAGCTCGCACGGGAGCAAGGCGCCTCCATACTCACCGGCGTTGACATGAGCGCAGCGGGCGTCTCGGACGCTTCCTTTCATGTGTTTGGTGAGGCGTTGCTCGCAGTTCAGGCGCCGGTGCACGTTGGCACCAACAACTTTGGGTTCAAAGGAGGCACACCGATCACCAATCTGGAGGCGCGACCTGCGCACGTTGACACCATCGTGCAGTATCGCGTTGAGCCGTACGAGGCGCCAGACTTCTTTATGCTCTGTGCGCGCAGGCCGTCTCCGGGTGGTGAGTCATTCCTCACGAGCCTGCGCGCCGCCGTCCGCCGCATGCCTGCAGAGCACCGGAAGCACATCGATCGCCTCTCGATCGTGCAACGCATCCAACTGCCGCCGGATTATGACCGGCTCAGCGACAACAGCACCGATCGCACGCAGGCACAGCAGTCGGAACACGCGGCGCCAGCACCGACCGATCGCGTCGAGCGGTTCGTCGTTCCAAATCCTATCGCCGGCCAAAGGCCGGCGATCCGAATCTCCTCCTTCTCCGACGCCGACGCCCTGCTGGCGGCTCTCGAGACCGAGGAAGCGCCGCCCGTGCGCCCGCTGCCGACATCGCTGAGGCCGGACTTCGACATGCAGACCGTGATGCATTTTCTCCGCGCTGTGGCCGCCGAGACCGCCGAGGCGGCTCGCTTCCGGCTCGAGGAGGGCGAGTGTGTGGTGGTGGACAACTTCCTGACGGCGCACGGCCGCGAGGCCTACACTGACCTCGGCCGCGCCATGTGGCAGGTGTGGGCGTGGACAAACGAGTCGCTCGCGGTGCCGCCGGCCGCCGGGCCCAACCGGGAGTGGCTCAAGCGCCCCCCCACGAGTGGTCACGCAGCGGCGAAGGACGAGGTAGAATAGGCCGGAGCTGTAGAAAATTGTTGGCTGTATTTATTTATGTCGAGTATGCAAATGGAGTGCCACAGGAGCACACCGGCTAGTGCCATTTCACTCTGACACGCTAATCTTGAAAACGTCTCCAACGGAGCTCCGTGTTGCTTCCAGCGCCCTCCCCCGCGCTCCCTGCGGCCATGGCCGATGCTCCTAGAAAGAGAGGTCATCTGGCTACCGCGAGAGCGACCCAACTCGTCGACATCGTCCGATGATGGTGCCGCAAAGTCAGCCTTCGGAGGCTATCGTGGGGTCGAGCCGGCAGTAGCCGTGACATGTGGTTCCACCACCCCTCGTAGGCTTTGCCTCTGACCGCCACCGTTCCCAGGCTGCCTAATTGGATGGAAAGAAAGGCTCGGCGAGCGTATAGAAGCGTGCTCGACCTCGTCGTGGCAACCTGTACGGCAGCGCTGGTAGGCGCGATGAGCGTCGTGCCACCTGACCCGAGACGGGTCGCAGGCGTCGTACCGAGCGCGTCGAGACCGTGTCCTGATGTGATCTGCACGGGTGAGTCACGTCGGCGTCAAAGGAGCGACGTGCGACCTGTCAGAGCTTGATCTCCGATCTCAGCGGCGTCGAGTCGTCTCCGGCGGCGACAATTTTGTCCCTCCCCAGGACGCACAGAGGCAGCTGCGATCGGAGATAGTGGACGGGGAGGCTGCGCGCCACCTGCCGAGTGCCCCCGTCCAGTTGGCGGGGTCGCAGCTGCCTCTGGAAGGCACCGAGAGGGACAAAATGGCGCAAATGGTCAAATCAAGGTTTTGTAACGCGAGCTGTGCCACAGTGAAATGGCACTAGCCACCGGACCTGCGGTGAGAGACTCTGATCGGGCTCGCCGAGCTTCGACAACGTTGGACTCGGATGTTTTCTTTTTCCTTCCTGTGAAAGGTCTGTCCCGCGTCCACCCATGCGTGTCACACGGTCACAGTCACTCAGTGTGTGTATGTTTAGAAGAGGTGCCAGATATGTATTTATCCTGCAAAATTCTTTTGACGGCTTCTGTGAGGACGACGGCTTCTATTAGAAGCCGTCGTCCGCGCTTTGCCTGTTGAAGTGTTGTGTGAATCGTGCGTGTGCGAGACACTTTTGTTGTAAAATTCTTTAGAAGCCGTCGTCCGCGCTTTGCCTGTTGTGTGAATCGTGCGAAAAAAGAAATAAAAACCCTTGGGCGTCCGCCTCTTCCTATATCTCTCTTCGCAGTCTCTCTCCGATTCTCGCTGCAACCTTCGTGCCACCTCGCGGTCTCCCCCTTCTCGTCGTGCTGTCCCTTGTCGCTTCTTCCTCTGTCGCGTCGCTCTCCTCTGCCTCGTCGTCCGATGAAATTCTTTTGACGACTTGACGAGCCTCGCAGCTCCGCCTGCTCGACAGCTCTCCGAGGCAACCGAATGCTCGGCCTCCTCGCCAGCTCGCTGCTCACGCGGCATGGCTCCTCGGAGGCGCCGCCGCAGCGTGCGCCTCGCATCGGCCACCAGCTCGCTCCGGCGCCGCTGCTCGCCTCGCTGCGCGGCAGGAGCGCCGCCAGCGGCGGCACAGCCACCGCAGCAGTGAGGCTCCTGTCGTCACAAGAGCCGGCAACGTCGGAGCGGCAGCACCGCCGCCGTCCGTGGCGCCGCCGCGGCGCCGCTGCCGGAGCGCGCCAGTTCAGCGGGCTCGATGACGTTCCGTTCGGGCCGGGCCGCGTGATTACCGTCTCGGCAGACAGCCGGTCCATGGCTGGCGGGCCGGCGGCGCGGCGCGTGGTGGAGGTGTCGCGGCCGGGCCGCCGCGACGAGAGCCGCGCCCTGGCCACCCGCTCCGCCGCCGCCGCGGGCAAGAAGCGCGTGCTCATCCTCATCTCGGACACGGGTGGCGCGCTTCTGCTTCTTCTCGAGCAATCTCGGGCAATCTCGTGTGACCTCGTGTGATCTCGTCAGGTGGCGGGCACCGCGCGTCGGCAGAGGCGCTCGAGGCGGCGATGGAGCGGGAGGCGCCGGGCAGACTGGACGTGGCGATCGTGGACGTGTGGACGCAGTATGGCGCCTTCCCGTTCAACAAGTTTGTCCCGTCCTACCGCCTCGCCGCCAAGTACCCAAACGTGCTCTGGCGCTCGTGCTACTTTGCAACCTCCTTCCCGCCCCTGATGGCGGCGCTCAACCTGCAGCACCGGCTCACTTGCTCGCGCGGCTTCGCTCAGTGCATGCGCGCGCACGGCGCGCACCACGCACGGGACTGAGCCCACACTGGGTTCGATCCTCTGGGGGTATGGTGGACTAGGCGCGAGCACGACCCGCACCTCGTCGTCTCGATGCACCCGCTGACGCAGCACGTCCCCCTAGAATCTCCCCGTATCTCCCCGTGTCTCGGGTCCGGTGCCGTGGGTGGTGCGGCGGAGTGTCGGTTCAGCGCCGTGGGTGGTGCGGTACAGGCACGTCCCCCTCTCCGTCCTCGCGCGATTCGACGAGAAGAGGAGACGCCGGGTGCCGTTCGCCACGGTTGTGACCGACCTCGGCTCCGCGCACCGCACGTGGTTCGACAAGCGCGTCGACGCGTGCTTCGTCCCCTCGGACGCCGTGCGCCAGCTAGCCGGCCGGTGCGGGCTGCGCTGCGGCGCACGCGGCGCGCAGGTGCGGCAGTACGGGCTGCCGGTGCGCCCCGCCTTCTGGACGGCGGCGGCGGAGCGCAAGCAGCGACTCTCTGCTGGCTCGACCGCCGCTGTGAGCGGCGTCTCTTCACACCGCTGGCTGTGAATAGGCAGCTCGCCGCCGAGCTACAGCTGTCGACTGACCGCAAGACGGTCCTCATCGTGGGCGGCGGCGACGGCGTTGGCTCGCTCGAGGGCATCGTCAAGTCGCTCGGTGATCTCCCCAGATCTCCCCGCATCTCCCCGCATCTCCCCAGATCTCCCCAGATCTCCCCAGATCTCCCCGCATCTCCCCAGATCTCCCCAGATCTCCCCAGATCTCCCCAGATCTCCCCAGATCTCCCCAGATCTCTCCAGATCTCCCCATGCCCCGCCCTATCTCCCGGTATCTCCGGGTATCTCCCGGTCTCTCCACCCGCCACTGACGTCCCCTGCTCTTCCTCGGTAGCGAGCGAGGCCGGCAAGAAGTGCCCCGGAGAGACGCAGCTCGTCGTCGTCTGCGGCCCTAGAAGCGAAACACGTATTCTTCATGCCTCCCAACCAGCGCTCGAGAGGACACGTCTTCAGCCGCATTCACCCGTATTCGGCTGTATTCACTGTCTTCTTCTCCGTTGTACTCACGCGGTGCTCTCTCCACAATACCGTCCTCCCGCCCTGAGGCTGGCGTCTTCAGCACGTAGGTCTGCGGCAAGAACGCGCGCCTGCAGCACAAGCTGGAGCGGCAGCGGTGGGAGGGCGTCGACGTGTGCGCGCGCGGCTTCACCAGCCGCATGTCCGACTACATGGAGGTCGCGGATTGCATCGTCACCAAGGCCGGCCCCGGCACGGTCGCTGAGGCCGCGATCCGAGGCTTGCCCACCATGCTCTCCTCCTTCCTCCCCGGCCAAGAGGTGCAATCTCCCCCTCTCTCCCCATCTCTCCCCATCTCTCCCCGGGCAAGAGGTGCAATCTCCCCATCTCTCCCCTTCTCTCCCCCTCTCTCCCCATATCTCCCCATATCTCCCCGGGCAAGAGGTGCAATCTCCCCATCTCTCCCCATCTCTCCCCCTCTCTCCCCAGATCTCCCCAGATCTCCCCACATCTTGCTTGTGCGCCCAGCCGGCGGTACTCGAGGTCATCTCTCCCCGTATCTCCCCGTATCTCCCCGTATCTCCCCACACCTCCCAGGCGGGCAACGTGCCGTTCGTCGTCGAGTCGGGCTTCGGCGAGTACTCGGCCAACCCTCGCAAGATCGCGCTCACCGTCACAGGCTGGCTGCAGGACGCGACCAAGCTCGAGGCGATGAGCGAGGCGGCGGCGCGCGCGGGCCAGCCTCACTCGAGCGGCACGATCGCGATCGCAAGCGACTTGTGCGAGATGGCCGAGGCCGCAACACCCTCCCTCACGGAGCACACATCTCCCCATCTCTCCCCATCTCTCCCCATATCTCCCCATATCTCCCGCAGGCCGCCACACCCTCCCTCACGGAGCACACATCTCCCCATCTCTCCCCATCTCTCCCCATATCTCCCGCAGGCCGCCACACCCTCCCTCACGGAGCACACATCTCCCCATCTCTCCCCATCTCTCCCCATATCTCCCGCAGGCCGCCACACCCTCCCTCACGGAGCACACATCTCCCCATCTCTCCCCATGTCTGCCCATATCTCCCGCAGGCCGCCACACTCTCCCTCACGGAGCACACATCTCCGCATATCTCCCCATCTCTCCCCATCTCTCCCCATATCTCCCGCAGGCCGCCACACACTCCCTCACGGAGCACACATCTCCCCATCTCTCCCCATCTCTCCCCATCTCTCCCTATATCTCCCGCAGGCCGCCACACTCTCCCTCACGGAGCACACATCTCCCCATCTCTCCCCATCTCTCCCCATCTCTCCCCATATCTCCCGCAGGCCGCCACACTCTCCCTCACGGAGCACACATCTCCCCATCTCTGCCCATCTCTCCCCATATCTCCCGCAGGCCGCCACACCCTCCCTCACGGAGCACACATCTCCCCATCTCTCCCCATCTCTCCCCATATCTCCCGCAGGCCGCCACACTCTCCCTCACGGAGCACACATCTCCCCATCTCTCCCCATCTCTCCCCATATCTCCCGCAGGCCGCCACACTCTCCCTCACGCAGCACACATCTCCGCATATCTCCCCATCTCTCCCCATATCTCCCGCAGGCCGCCACACTCTCCCTCACGGAGCACGAGCTGGCGTCTTCAGCGCCAAAGGAGTGACTTTCCGCGACTTGGCCGCCGCCGCCGCCGCCGCCATCCGCCGCCAGCGGTGTTGCCGCAGCCATTGCCGCTGTCGCCGCTGTCGCCGCTGTCGCCGCTGTCGCCGCCGCCACGCCGAGGCTCGTCTCGTGTGGAGCAACGGTCGGGGTCGCGAGGGCGCGTGCTTGTGCTCCTCTTGCTGCGCTCCTTGACTCCTCTGGCGTGCGCCTCTCGAGGTCTCGAGGCGCGGGCGCGCGGACGGGGGGGGGGTTGGGGGAGATCCGGGGCACGGCGATTCGGGCCCCTCGAGAGGGGGTGGGGGGGGGGGCACAGCGGCCGGGCGGCGGGTGGGTGGGTGGGGCGGCCGCGAGCACGTTTGTGCCTAGGCGGAGGAGGGGAGGGGGTGCCACGGAGAGGGGGGCGGGGGGCAGACGGAGGAGGGGAGGGGGTGTCCATGGCCCGTATCCACGTCTTGGGCGCCGCGCAAGCCAGTCTCTACGCATGTGCGCTCTCCATGTCGGGTGTCCGTGTTCGGAGCGGTCGGTATGTTTCTGTTGTGCTTGCACCTGCTCTGACGCCGTGACCGCGGGCGCCCCGGCGCGCGGCGTGTCGGGGAGCGAGATCCGAGAAATTGTTCTTGACCCAATTGGCACGCGCTGGGGAGTTGATCCAGTCTTTACGCGCGCCTGCTTGTTGATGTTCTCGGCGTCGCCCGCCACCGCCGCCATGGAGATCTGCTGCGTGTGGTGGACAACGAAGGAGGAGGCGCTCGCCGACGCTAGGGGGTGCACAGCGTCCCAATCTAAAATCTCGTGAGGATTCAGGATTGAGGCATCGCTTCAGTGAGGCCAAAGTGAGTTTATGGATGTGTGAGAACGGTACGGGACACGAGGAGTCACGCGGACCGACTCGTCGGTGACTCTGCTGCACGCCGTTTCAGAATTTTTCTCAGCGTGAGCGAGACGTGGAAGAGTGCCACCGTCGGGTAGGACGGGTCGGCCCGGAGCATCAGAGTAGCCGTCGTGGTCGCGGCGAGCAGCGCCGGCCACTCCGGCGCCGCGTCGGCAACATGGGAGCATGTCCACCGCCACATCGCGGTCGCAGCGCTGTTTGTCGACCAAACGCCGCTATGTACCTTTTCGGGCAAACCATCGAGCTGCATGTCGATTCCGACTTGACGGCGGCATGGAGGCATCATGCCTCCATGCCGCCGTCAAGTCGGAGCCAGTCTGCGGCGACCACAGCGCTCAGAAAGGTACATTGCGAGCTATTCAGAGTCAAATTTTTGCGCGAAATCCCACACTGGTGGATTTTGGGGCGCTGTGCACCCCCTACCGACGCCGCCCCGTACTCCGTCCGGTCCGTCTTGCTGCCCGCCGCCTCCTTGGCGAACACGTGGAGAAACTGCTTGGTGGGCGGTGCAATGCCACCCAAAGTCTCGACGAGCACCAGCCGCGTTATGGCTTTCTTGACCCACTTCGCGTCGTAGTACTGCGCCCCCATCCACTTCCTTGACCCATTCTTCTCGACCCATCCGTCTCCATACGCATGGTCTTTGACCCATCCCTTTCCAGTCGAGTGGTCGAGCGGCCCGTCCACCTGCCGGCCACGCTCCTTGCACCCCACGACCGCCGTCAACGCCTTATCCAGCGTGTTTCCAAACCCGTAGAGGTGGCCAACCGATGCCAAAATGCCACCCTTTTCCCACGAGCCCCTCCCTGACGTCGTCGACTACTTTCGAACCTCGGCGCCCGCCCTCTTTCTGGCCGCGTCCCTCCCCTGTCCTCTCGACTGCACTCACTCTTTACATACATAATTGTTTTTTTCTCAAGTCTCAAGAGTCAAATCTATAGTTAGGTGGACAACGAAGCGGCGGCAGTCGAGGAGAGGGGAAGTGGGGCCAGCTCACTTCGATCGATGACTTGCGCCCGCCCCCGCGGTCTCTCTATCGTCTTCGGCTCGTCCGTACGTCCCGACTCTACTTGCAGAGGCCGCGCCAGCTCATCTCTCACCCTCTCCGACAGCTGACCCCAGGCCCCCTCCGGGGCCCTCCGGCTTCGGCCCCCCGGCCCCTCCCCTCCCCCAGCACCTCCTCCCGGGTATTCCAGCCTCCTGGTCGTATCCAAGCGCCGCTGAGCTGACTCTCTGCAGGTCCCGGCGCAGCTCCTCCTCATTGCCATGGTCTCTCGGCAGCGGGACTATCACGACACCGTCATGCTGAAGGTTGATGACCGCACGGCCCGTCGCGCACGCCCAGTTCCATTTGGCCGTCCTGGAGACCGCCTCCAGTTCCGAAACCACGTCCGATTTGAGCGTGCGCGCCGGGTCGGTCGCCCCCCCAGGCGGGTTCACGTTCGTCTCGTGCAGGTTCCAGTACCCCACAGTCTCGTGTAAGTCCGTCAACTGTTCGGCGAGCCATTGCGTACGGAGTGACTGTTGCCGGAATAGTTCCCGGACGTGGAAGGTCTCGCCCCCCCCCAACGCGATCGGGCCCTCTCCCAGCGACCTATCCTCCGGGATGTCATTACGGGTGCGCCACGCGGAGTACGTGCCATCCATCTCGGTGGCGCTTAAGAATTCTTATGCTTGTGTATGTGGCCCGATGCCGGCTGGTCCTCCTGCTCTTGGCGGTGCCCACCGCCGCCGATGCAACGTTGCTCGGCGGCCTCTGGGTCGACGGACACCGAAGGCAGTATGAGAAGCCGACCGTGGAGCGACTGCGGCACGGCGATGCGGAAGCCTTCCGCTTTGACCGCTACCAGTCTCCGGCGGCCGTCAAGGCCGCCTTCGACGGATGCCGCTCCCGCCGCTCGTTCCGGACGCACGAGGCAAGCGACGGCCGGCGGGGGCTTGTCAGCTCGACGCGGCTGGGCGGCGACTGGGTGCTGGCCGAGTCGGAGCAGCTTGCGCCGGCATGCACGGCGGAGGAGGTGCTGCGCGCGTACCTGACCGGCTCGCTCCAAAAGGAGTGGAACGCCGACAAGGTCTCTCGCGTGGCCTTCTCGCGAGCGGCGTCGCCGGAGCGCGGCAGGTACTACCGCCAGGACATCGAGCTGCGGTCCGTCCGCGTGATTCGGAGCCGCACTGGCCCGATGAGCTACAGCCAGACTATCTCCGTCGACAAGGTTGGCGGCCGCCACTACTGCGCGCTCGTCCGGCTCGACCCGGACTGCCCCGCGACAGCGCGCTTGCCCTTTGAGGCGGCTTCTCGGCACCTTCTCGGCACCTTCTCGGCACCTTCTCGGCACTCTCCCATAGGCGCGCAAGCCCTTCGAGGCGCTCTCGGTGTACGTCGGTCTGCAGCAGGTCGGGCCGGACGTGCGCATCTACGCGGCGGGCGTCTTCCGTGTCAACCGGCGGGTGGTGCCCAACTTGGTTGTGTTTGATGCGAGCGGCATCGCGGGCGACATGGCCGGCAAGGGGACGCTCTGGCTCGCCGGACACTTCGAGAGGAGGAGGGTCGCCGCCGCGGCAGCAGCGGTGGCGCGGGAGGCGCGTGGCGGCGCCGGCGGGGCTGCCAGCCGGCGCTGGGCGGGCGCCGTGCGCTTCCTGCGCGGTCGCGTCAACGGAGGAGCGGCATCGAGCGAGGGAGAATGCGGGAGGAGGACGTAGCCTCTCTGTGTGTGTGTTCTGCGGAGCTCCATTTTTGGTCGGAGAGAAGAGATGGCCGAGCCGCGACACTCGCAGAGACGACGAGAGCTCTGGGCCGGCGCGGGGCCCCCCGGAGCGCGGAGGCACCGTGCGCCGCGCCGCAGTGGCAGTGCGGAAACGGGGCTCCGGCGCTCATACTCGCTCATACCACCGACTTCCCGATCTAACCCGGTCTAACAGAGGGCAGATTTAAAGAGATCTCGCGGAGTACATACAGATAGACCCTCCAACCATCAGAAGACTCCGACCTGATCGGTCGTACTGACCGCCGACAGATCACTCCAGACAGCAGACAGGCCGACGTCTGCACGCGGCCGGCCGGGCGAGAGGCTTGACACGATCCGACCCTGCGACCCTGACGCTGCTGCTCTAGCTATCAGCCATGCACTGCTGACTGCTGCCACAATGTGCGACCTGTGCTGGCCCACTTGGCGGCCTTCCCGGTCAGTGGTGAGGCGCAGTTCAGAGCTGTCGATGGCGCGATGCCGCACTGGTCCCACATTGGTGACACGAGACCACCAAGTTTGCAGGTCCAAGAGAGAGGCACCGGCGCTGTCCTGAGAAGGTGCGTGGTCCCTCTTGACTGCCCATGCGCGCGAGGCTGTGTAGGCATAGCCTCGAGAGTGCCAGCAGCCAATCCGAGGTGACGCGCATTGCGCCAGAAGCGTGCACGCAGCTGGAAGGACACCTTCCTACTGGCCGATCGGTCGTCACTGAATGCTTGATACTAAGGCCGCGAGCTATGCAGGTGATCAATTGTGCAGCATGGCACGGTCAGCAGCGCCGACAGGCTGTCGCAATGGCCCTGCTGCGGTACGTTTTGAAAGATTTCGCGTCGAAGTGGGTGCGCTTCTTAGCTCCCCGGTCCTGGGCGTGCGGTTACCAACTGCACTCCAAGTGCTCCAAGGGATCTCCTCGCACTGATTTAAAAAAATAGAAAGGAAAAGGGAAAAACGGCGAAGCGGATTTTTTATCCCCCTCCGACGCGCCGTGGGTCGCCGCGAGCGTGAGAACGAGGAGGAAAGGCTGCTTCAGTGGAGAGGAATTGATTGATTGATGGGAAGGCGAAACACAGTCCGACCAACGACTAGAGGAAAGAGCCCACCCCGGGCGGACGGCGCTCGCAAGTGGCGTTTTTCTTCTCTCGAGCTGGAGCTGAGGGCGAGCTGGCCTCTCGCTGCCCTTCCGCCTCGTCCCTCTCCCTCACACGCATGAGATCAGTCCTGCTTGCTGCGCTCTTCGCGGGCGCGGAGGCGCTCGCGGGTGCGGCGCGTGCTCCCGCGCTTGCTCGCGGCGGCGCTCCGGCGATGGCCGCTGTGCCGGTCGCCAAGTTTGACGGCGCGGCGGCGGGCGAGGAGGCGGTGGAGCTTCGCGTGGCCAAGGCGCGCCGCCTGCCCCCCTCATGTTCA